TCTCTTTCTCCATCCTTCTTCAAATGATCTCCAAGCCTCCAACAGCACAGCCGTGGTCTGAAGATGTCCAGTTATGAGGGCACCAAGCATTTTTCTGGTCTGTCTGTACCACAGGCAGCATGGGGAGCATCAGGCCAGCTTGAGGTTCTCACAGCACAGCCACAGCTCTGTAAAGTAGAACACTAATTGACAGTATAAACTAAATATCCTCTTTGCTGTTGCTTAAGGATTTTATTCTGATTGAAAGCTGTGGAGGCAAATGGAAACAGAGCATTTCTGCTGATGTCAATAGTACATGTTAGCACTTCACTAAGTAAGAGCCCCAGACTCACACTCAGACTTCCCTCTAGGATCATGGGCCAACTAATTCCAGTGTGCTCTTTAGACACTTTCACCTTATAAAATTAGTTTTTAATATATGCCAGCTCTTTTTATTAATATAAAAACTCACCATAAGAAATCAGCATATTCTTATGGAATTTTTGTGTTGTTTGGATTATTTTTCAGTTGAGGAGGAAATGGTCATGGCACAAGACTCCAGGAATGCCTTCCAGAATCACTGTGGCCAGTGGAAGAAACCCAGGAGAGCTGGACAAAAGGAGAGCAGATACAAGAACTCAAGGACATTTAAGGGAGCTTCACGTCTCAGGAAGCAAGCTTAAACCCAGTACTCAGTGCTGCAGGTTTAACAATAAATACCACTGTAAATAAATACCACACAGGAAAACAAAACAGGAGAGGAGAAGCCAGTGCTGTGCTGTCCTAATGCAACAGCTGGTGCCACATCCAAGAGTTCTTGCAAGCGCTGAGCAGCCCTTTGTGCCTCCTGCAATGAACTGCACTGGTTCCCCTATGTGACTCAGGATCTGGGGGGAGGGACAGAGCCCTACTCACCAGCCCCTCCCTGACTTTCCAAGGAGAAAGTGACATAAGGGGCTCCTGAGAGAGCTGAGCTGGCACATACAAGGCAGGCAGCCTTGAGATGCTAAATAACAAGTTGGTATCGAGCACTGACATCTGGGAAATTCAAAAGGGTTTTGAAGGGGAACTGACATTTATTAACTTGTACACTTTGGGAAAGAGTGTGGGTTTTGTAAAGTATCCTTTCCACAGAATTTGGAAGCAAAATACAACAGTAACAGGAAACAAAAAGATTTCTCTCTGCTGACCAAAAATGCCAAATTTTGAAATCATGGAAAGATTTAGTTAGTATTCTGCAAAACAGCTGTTATTCTCCTTTAAGGACAAATGGATGACTTTTTCAAATAAAAAACTGCATAAGCATGGAGTTATCTTTTTGGTGTGTCAATTGACATACTTTTTAAAAAAAAAATCTTCCTCCCTGCTCCCCTGTAGCTGTACAGTTTTTAGTGCATCTCAGACTGCCTGTGGCAGACAGCCCACAAAAATGCAACTCAAATTATTTGCAAGTACTACTGGCTTTTAGCTTCTCTAATCTAGATTCCAACTCTCAAGTTTAAACCCAAACAGGCAAGGAATAAGAAGTGACTATCATTACTGTCCTCAGTGTTTACTCTCCCTGTCTGCAATTACCTTTCATTAAAGCTGTTTGTCATTGCCCATCCTGCAAGACTGGTAATGACTTGTCAGAGATTATGTGTGGTTTGCAGTTTCAGTTTTCATAGAATTTTAAGAACTCCTTGGAATAATTTTATAGCAATGAGGCCATGACCACAGGTTTAAAAAACCACTGTAATTTATCAGTCTGTAGAGAAAAAAAGAATTTAAATAGCAAGTACCCTTACACTCTCTCCCATTTTAACATTACCCAAATTTAAAAAGACATAATTCATCACACTGGTTTATATCTGTGCAAATAACATGGAATACATTGCACAGGTAAAGAGGCAATTGTTTCAAATTGCAAACAATCTTTTGCAGGGAGTTGAGACAGCTGCTGCAAAGAATTACTTTCTACATTTAAGAAGGATGCTGTCTTCTTAAAGCAGTGATCTGGGATATTGATCAGATGCTAAAGGAATTCTAACATACAGAATCCCAAATACTCACTCTCTCATTGCCCAAGAAAAGACTGGCCAGGACCACATGAAAAAATACAGAATGAAAACTGATTTTGTTAATGCCACAGTGTGTCTGAGAATGAGAAAATTTGAAATGCCAAGAAGTGGTAACACTCTTAAACAGCACTCCACTGTAAAATGGTGGTATGGATACCAAAAATAATGCTACATACATACACTGTGTGGCTTTGACAGAACTGCCTATTGAGCTGTAACTGCTACCATGTAGGAGGAGCTGACATTCACGACTTAGTAACATGCATTGAAAATTCTCAGGCCTTGTTGTTTTCTGTTCCATTACTGAATAGTGTCAAGAAATATGTTTTCATGCTACCAGCGTGAAATTCACCATCGTATCCCATGTAATTCCTTCAAAAAGGGAAAATATATTTTAAATAACACCATAGAAAGACATCTTTATCTTGATAAATTATACAAGCATTATATAAATATATATGAAGAGAGTAACTGCAAGGAAATAACTTATCTTCAATTTCTGGTGTCACTGAAGAGTCCTCTCCCTTCCTCTCTCTAGCAATAATGTGAAGTTAGGATCCTACTGCACCTACAACCAGTAAGCATATTAAAAACCTTCCTGCCTGTGACTGCTTCCCAGAACAATTTAAAGTCTCAGCATTTAAGTTGGAAAGGTACTGAGATAGTAATGTAATAAAGGATTGTGAAACCACTTTTGGCTGGGGAATGACTGAAGAGAGTGATTAATAGGTGTTTATTCCAGTGTCTGCAGTGATGCTGTCCAAGGATGCTAGAACAGGGGCAGATTCAAAAGATACAAAAGTGCTTTTGGTTCTTTTTTTTTCCTTAAGACACACAGAAGAGTTAAAATGCCTGCCAGAGGAAATTTTTTAAAAGCAGCCAAAAATCCAGAGGCAAAGAAATACTGATAAAGACCAGTAAGTCTTTTAAAATCACTCAAGACTGGAAGAATATTTGGGAAAGTACTACTTTCTAATATAGCAATCATAGTTACACACACCCCAAGGCAAAGACCAGTAGCCTCAGAGACAGATCTGGGAGAGTTAACAGTCACTTAGCTGTCCCCAACAGAGACATTCATATAGACTTACCTCCAAGAACTCTAGTAGAATTGCCTCAAACAAAACAGATTTTAACACAAAAGGAATTATCAAAGCATTTCTAATGCTTGTAATTTGTATTAATATTACTACTCTTTTTTTCCAAGTGCAGTATGAAAGCCCCAAAATGCTGAGCAGCATGAAAATCAGAAGTTTCAAACCTTCCAGAGGTGTAGTCAGTATTTTATTCCATCTGTTTGATGTCTTTTGTGGACCAAATAAAAGTTGCTATTCAGCTTGACTGTCAAGTAGAATACATCAAGAAACACTTTGTACTATAGTTGCTCATTGCTTTGAGCAATAAATCTTTTGTTTAAAGAGTTTTTCATTGGAGTTGCATGCTTGCCCTTCACAAAAGCTTTATCTACGAAATAATCTGTGAACAAGTCCAACATTTGTTATGAACCCTGAGGTTATCATTGTTAAAAAGGAAGATGTATTAAGTTTTTTTTTGTAAGACCCACATGACTCACTTCTCTAAGTATTTGAGCAGAATTAATTACTGTAATTGTATTTGAAATTGCCCATGTATTATAAAGCTGGCTTGTGAAGTGCCTTGAGAAAATTTCTTTTTTGCATGTTGTAGTTTTTGCTGTAGATATATATAAAAGGGTAACAATGAGACTTCAGAACTGCACAGTATTCCAGAATATTTAAACAAATGCATAAAACCTGAATCCACAAACCTTGACTATTTTTAGGACTTCTGTTTTTCTGCATGACACTTAGGGCTTATGTTTTTCTTCATGACAATGGCTGTTCAATTAGTATATATTTAATCAGTGCAAGTGACAGCTATGCATAAGCTATGCTGACCTGAAAATGCTATTAATTTTTCACTGACAAAAGGTTCTCTTACTATTTGAAGAAAGACATATCTCAGTGAAAATAATATTGTTTCAAGAATATTTACAGTTTTAAGGATTAAATACAATTGAAATTGAACCAATACTGATCTAGTGTCTAACTAATCAGACCAATCCAAAATTAATGAACTCAAGTAATATGCTTTCCTCCCATCAAACAAGATCAGCAACTAATACTACAACATATCAAATACCTTAAAGATTTTTATATAGCTTTTTCTTACACTTTTGTAGGAAAAATCCACTAAGACATCCTTCTAAATCCAAATGTGTCCATTCTGACCTACATTTACATATCCCAAACTGGACACTTCTTCTTCCTGTTCGCAGTGTTGTGGCAGTGTTATGTTATCCGGCTGGATGGGGTTCTCTTCCCCTTTTTGAAAAGCAGAACAGCTCTGGCTTTGAAGGAAAGCAGCTTATCTGTTATCTGCTAATTCTCCAGGTAATGTGGATGCAGTTGAGAATGCCTACATATGTACAGAAATTAACATCTCTGTTACCATTGTCATATGTTATCCAAACTACGCAGAGACAAAGCTAACCAGAACTTCTGTTACACAAGCGTGCTGACAGATGGCAGCCGTCTAAACTGAGAATAGCACCAAAAATACATTGCTCAGAAGTGAAGAAGAATGTAATGAGAAATTTCATGATTTGTTATCTGAAAACCACAGTAGATCATATCTCAATGAACTCAGTAGAACCACTTGCAGAGGGGCATTTCAACTTCCACGGTGATGTTCAAATCTCCTTTGTTTTAGCAGCTGAAGATTTCTTCTCTAAACTATAGAAATCAGGAGGTTTATTGGAAGATGTTTAAAAAACCTTGGTACTTAAGTACTAGGCAATCGTGCCACCGTTCTGGCAGCCCTGCAGACCATTTGCACTAATCCCTGTTTTTCAAAGTTCTGTGACCTCTAGAATTGCAGTTCTCAGAAGTAATCTGCTCATTTCAAATATCCTCCAAGCTTATGTATGAGTGCCAAAAGTCATACAGAGAATAAACAACTTTATTTTATAACAGAATTACAGAAAGCAAAATATCACTTAATACAACTTCAAGCTACTATAAATCTAATTTGGCATTTTAACTATACACAGAGTCAACAGCAAAAAAAAACCCAAACAAACAACCCCCCCTGCAAGAACAAGTTAAAAATAAACCCCAATATAATTAACAGGTTTTTTGCCATGGCAGTCTCAACTGATGGTACTCTCATTACTTTATGAGTGGAGTCCATCTTACACCTTTTATTCAGTAGCCTAAAAACCTGCATTAACCATTAGAGGAAGCAAGTGAAACATATACCTTCTCTGTAACAGAAATGTCAGTTCTAACATGGAGACACAGTGAGGTTTAATAGCAAGCGAGCACTCTACACATGTATCCAAATAATGGAAGTATTGAAACTGGGACACAGTAAGAAAAAAAAGCACTACGGTTTTAAGCTGCCTAGATCATCTCTTGTTGGAAAAAGAGAAAGATAGTTTGTTCTTCCTTCTTTCCTTTTCTGGAATGCTGCAGACAGCAAAAAGTCTGCAAAAAGTTGAGCATTGGCACCAAAGTGCAAAAAGAACACAGTGCTCAGTCAGAAGAATCTGTCTGCAACTCCTTCTCCTCTACAGACTGCCACACCATCTCTGCTCTGCAGAGAGGAGAACCTTGGAAAAGAAAGAGTTACAGAGATACCAGTATAAAATTTATCCACAGAAATATATTTTTTCAAATTTTAGCAAATGTTTTATTTTTATAAAAAACTTCGTTATGTGATATCATATATTTACCTGAATAATCTGAAAAAAATTCTGTAAATTACTCCAGTAAGAGATTTCACTTGAAATATCTGAAAAAAACTATATCTGAATTAGTAAAGATCCTCCTTCCTGCACAATTACCACCTCCTCCAGTGAACAATGATTTCCAGACTTCCTTTGTTCACTTTCATATAATTAAGAATCAGTTTCGAAAATACAAGTATTTGTGCAAAAGAAGATCATACCCTCTAGAACTTCATTTAAAAAAACCAAAACTCTAAGACTGTTAAGAAGTGGTTATAAAAATAAACAAGAAATACTCTAAGGGAATATAGACCAAAGATGTTAAAATGGAGTTTGGTATTGGCATTTAAGTTGTGAACAACTGGTCATCGTTGCTAGGCCTGGTGGATTCAGTGGAGTCATGATGACTTGGAATGACTACAGTTCTTCGTGGTCAGTGACATTTTTATTTCTGCAAGAAAAAAACATTGTGGAAGGTTACATAAGCATTTGTAACATTTACCATGTGAATGTCACATCAGAATCAGAAAGTAACTTTCTCTATGCAGGGGTCTTTTTTTTTTTACAGGAAGGGAAGGTTTCATTAAAAATTTTTCATTTTTCATTAAAAAAATATTGCATTGACTAAAACCCCCTTCAGTCATTAGGCAAACAGTACTACACTTTCTCCAAATACTCATCTTTCTTTAGAACATTTTTTCCCATCCCAAAATTCTCATGTTATTACAACTGCAGTCGCTTTAACAGTTTACTGAAAAAATTAATCCACAACCTAGAGCATAAATAAAAAAGGAAGGTACTTGTTCAATTCAGTAATCCTTCAGAATCAGAATGCAGTATCTTTTACTTTTATTAGAGAAAACAAGTCTAGACAAAAAATACTGCTGTAGTCATCAGAGCTTTCATCGCCTCAGAAACAACTATGCAAAATTCATTGCATGACTTCATTGCCTTAGCACAGGAGAGCAACAGGCTCTTGACAGATATTCAAGGCACTTCAGGTGGTTTTCTTTTGTTTATATGACTAAATTTTTTCCCTAAGGTTTAACTGAAAGGCATCATTAGTCAAACAAGTCTTCAGGTCTGACACAAAAGTAGCATGGAGAAAAGTCTGACACACTCCAGTCCTTTGCAAACAACAATGTATATGTTTCTCAAAAATGAAAAAGAAAAAAAACTTCCTCAGACAATGGAAGGAATTCTTTGAATGTTCTCCCCTGTATAAAATTTTTACAAAGTAGTTAAATACTTGATGAAGGAACAGAATCAACTTTGCAGCTCATCACTAATGTAGAAACGTGGTGCTAACCAGCCAAGATAATTTTTTCCTCCCACAACCCAGACCCCTCTAAAAAGATGTAATTACTTCTATAGGATAGATCCTGTTGAACACTGATTCAGGATTAAGGTAGCATGAAGAAGCTGGCACTTTCTACACACGTTAGAGAAAAGGCAATCTCTGCTCCCAAGACCTTTAAATTCACGCTGATTAATAATGAATGCAAAATGTGATGGTAACACATAGAACAGTAAAATCCTGCAAATCCAAACCATCTGTTCTGCTGTCTCAGTGTATCTTTCTACCTTAGATCCTGTGATGGAAGTGCTGAAAATATGCAAGTGGTGGTTTGAGTGTGCATGTTTAATGTTGCTGTGTACCAAGGGACCAGTGAAATCACCCAGAGCACAGGCATTCTCCTTACTGCAAACAGTTCTCACAAAAGTGATGTGCATTTTTCCAGGCCTTCTACAACATTTATGAGTCATGTGGGGACTCATCAACACCCCCCTTTCTCACAGTTCAGTACAGTTCTCTGTCCTCTCCTGTGCTTTCAAACCAAAGTTGGAGCATACATGTTATACTCATTTTCAGTGTCACTAAGCAACAAAGCCACGAAACAAACCTAACTGAACACTGAAATAAAGGTACAATATAAAAACAGACATTTATGCAGTGCTTCTTATTTTTGGGTCATTTCCCCAAATGTCCCTCACAAGCAACCCCACCTGCATTGGTTTTTTTTGGTTTCTAGCATTGTCTAATGTGAAAATAATTTTTAAAAGTATTAATGCTACAATGTTTTCTTGTGGCTTGTACATTTATGAACAAAAATTATTATTTTCTTCTTCAAACACACAATAATCTGACCAAATCTGAAGAAATTTTCTGGAGACAAACCAAACTTAGTTCTACTGTGTTTTACATCCTGAAAAATTATGTAAACTTACATGCTGAAAAGCTCAGAGGAAAACTAGGCAGAAAATCCTGTCTAAACACACATGACCAAAACAAACATCATAGTTCTAGTGCAACCTGTATGAGGTCAGGAAGGGCAATTGGAAGCACTTTGACAGAGAAGATGGATAAACTTCCTGCCTGCAGGCAGAGGGCAAGCCATCCTACTCTCATCCTCGTATTCTCCATGGCATTCAGCATTGCTGCTCTATGCAGTACTGCACACATCCGGAGTTCAGGACAACCTCTCAGGAGAGTTATGCATACAGTGATGACATCCAACAATTCTGCCAGCAGATAAGAAAAACTCTCACCCCAATACCCCACCATGGGCAGCCTCTTAACTGACCATATCCATGTCAACAGCTGGCAATGAATATTAGCACTCCCTCGGCCACACACAGGCACCCCACTACTATCCTGATTTAAGAAAAGAGACACCCATATGTAGATGAAATAAACAAAGGCTTTGGTCTATGTCTTTCAGCTGAAAATATGCATCTGTGATCAGACTGGCACAGGAAGAGTCCAATTCCTTGACAAAGGTCATGCTCCATGGAACAGCATCCGATAGATCCACTTCATATCCCCTCAACTGATCCCTGAATCTTTTCTCTTCTGGACCCCAGAAGTGATACTCAACAGTCAAATCTCCAGCTTTTAGGAAATTCAGGCACAGCAATAAAATGGATCCTTTTAACATGACAAATTATCAGGATTATGTGAAAAATACCCTCCCCTCTAATAGCTTACAACACATTTGAAATCAAGTCAGTATCTCACTTTTCATATATTCCTGGCACTTCATGGCTGTGTTCAACTCAGCTAAAGCTGCAGGCTGTAATTTATAATGGCTAGTTTCCTTGGGTAAAGAATTTTGTTCAATACTAATGGAATACCAGCCTGCACAGGACACAGAAGTCTCTTGTCCATGGGCTACAACCACCATTCTTTAAAATATTGAACCAGGGAAATAAGAATCATGACTATTCTCATTTCTTTAAAATAAAATGTATTTCTTTTACCTTGTCTCCTCCTACATCAACATTGATCAAAGTGCATAGTAAAAGATTGAAGTTGTACTAAAATAATTTTCTTTCTTGACATATTCCAATAATAGTGCTGCTCTTCTAGCTAAATACAGAGGCTGGTCAGTAAAAAATCAGAGATCTCCTAATGAAGGCTTAAACCACTGATTTTTAAATGTCATTTCTTTATAAATCTCTCTCACTGATATAACCATTTAACCAGTAACAAAGCCTTTTTCTTGAATCTGAGTCGACCATTAACAAAACCATCAAGTTTGAAAAAACCTGAAGCTTGAGTCTCATACCAGCAGCATGACAAGCACAGGAAATCTGAAGCTTTACACCCCCAAATGGTCACCGAGCATTAAGACATTAGCCTATAATGAGTGCAAGAGCAGATTTACTCAGTGTTCATCCTGATCTTCCTATTGAATACATGAAGGAAAACTGCATTGTGGTTTTTTCCTTCTTTTTTTTTCCTCAACCTAGAGGGTCTAATAAACTAACAAGACTTCAATCAGCTTTTTCAACTGATAAAAGGCTTTGAAACTTGAGCTTCCAATACATTTACCTTCTTGCCTGGGAAAGTGATAAAAGGCCAAAAATTTCAGTGTGATTAAGATTAAGGATTAGCTGATTAAACTCAAATGTCCAAGTGTGTCCTTTCACTACTGGAAAATACATAGTCTTCTCACTAAACAAGCAAGATGTTAGGCAAGAACTATAATTGTGCAGGTTAATAGAAAAGTTTGACATAGTTCATATTTTGCAGAAATATCCCAAACTCACTTCAATATAAACTATAGCCCAAACTCACTTCAATATAAACTATAACAACCTGACCAAACATTGTAGAAAATGCCATGAGAGTCCTGTGACAAAACTGGGTGATTTATATAGGGAACATTTGCAACTGAAATTAATGTCAGATTAGACCCAAGATAAACATTCTTACACTAATAGTCTTCTATTAGCACCTGTTTCAACTCACCCTTCTGTGAATGCCTATCTTAAAGATGACCCATATATTTCAGATGAAAAGACATGAATGCAACAGAAAACTGATGCCACGCTTTCCTGTGTTAATTATATACACAAGCTTACCTGAAGTATTTGCTTGAGGGCATTTTTCATTTTAGTCTTCATCTTCCTCAGCAAGTTCAGTTTCTTTGTGCACCACCACTCTTGTCACAGACATATCAGGGTGCTGTTCTTTGGCTTCTTTGATTGCCTGTGCCAGGGCCTGCAAATGTATTTGAAATAAGGACTTAATGAGACCAAAAGGACATTCATGTGGTGCCAGAGAATAGGAGAGTACCTTTGGAAAAATTGGTTAAAATTTTGCGGAACTGTAAATTCCTGAACTTGAGATCAAAGGTAAAAAAGCCAACCAACCCCCAAACCAAACCAACTCCCCAAACACAAAACCGAAATAAAATAAAAAAAAAGCCACCAACAAAAAAAAACCCCACCATATTAAAAATATACTGAGATTTCCAGGAAGTAACAACCGTAAAGCTGCAAGATGACTTCCTAGCTCATTTTAGAGAAAGAAAGTATTTTTAGATCTCGGAATTTTCTCAACTTTTGCAAAAGATCTAACAAATAATACCTTAGCAAGAGTATAAGAGAGTACAGAAAAACAAGAGTGCCCTTCAGTTTCCTGAACAAAACAGAAAGATACTTTAAAATGTATACTAAGTATGGTACTGTAACTCTGCAATAAGCTCATAACAGAAATGTCTCAGCACAAGAATCCCATTTTTCTCCTTGTACTAGTTTAAGAGAAATATCTCTAGCTTAATTCAGGGAAGTGTAAATGCAAGTATCATTCAGTTGCTTATAATCCCTGCCCCTTTTAAGAAATGTTATCATCTTAAGAGATGTACCAATATACCCAGCTGGATCAGATGACCATCATAGATCCCTTCCAACTGAAATGTAGTATTTTACTTTATATCATAGTCAGCCAAATAAGAACATTCCCTGAATCATCACAGGTGAAACAGCACCTGGGACCTTCTCTTTCTTGCCCACATCTTAGCACACATCTTGTTCCAGTGAGCTGCATTACTGCTGGAACCCAACATAAGAAAAAAACAGAAAACATGGGAAGATATTCAGAAGCAACAATTCACCTGTTCACCTTAGTACCAAATGCAACTAAAAATCCCCCAAAATACTAGAAGGAGCAAGAAAAATACAATGCAACAAGCAAGTTCATCTTGATTTAGAAAAGTAACTTATTTCCTGAGCTAGCTACAGGTATTGAGAAAACAAGTAACGAACTCCGAAGAGAGATTGAAAATACCAGCAATTAGGCACCCTAACTATTATGTGACACTGAATTTGAAATCCTATTAAGGGAATATGTACAGGACACATGATGTGCATTGGTATAGGGAATACGTGCAGGACACAATGTGCATTGGTAAAAAACAGCAAATATCAGTATTATAACAATCAAAGCATAAAAAATAAAAAAACCCTAAGACTCTAACTGGTAAATTACAACAAGTAATACATTTGTATTCTGCAACTCCAAACTGAAATATTGTTTTCCTATTGAAAACTGTTTCAATGATATAGGGAGCTAATAGACAAAATAAAAAACATCCAGCATGTATTTTGGGCATTTCAGAAGCTCCATACTCACTTTAAAAATGGTAGATATTTCTTAAATCTCTTAAAAGCTGCTCACTGCTGTTTTAAACTTCTGTGATTAAAATTGTATTTTGTACTTTTTTATAATTTCATTTTTTACTTCATTAATCACATATCCCAAATTAAAGAAGGGCTTTGAGAATTGTCTGGTAAACTAAAGATATTTTGTGACCTTTCGAGACACTTGAAGTGTACTGAATGTGTGTCAAGGCAAAAAAAGAACCATCCATGCCTGATGCTAAGCAGCCCTGTCATTTAATTACGAATTTCAAGAAGAGATTCAACTTGCCAAAAGACACTTTCTGGACACAAATCAAAATGTGAAAGTAAATTCCTTGAAAACTCTCTATATATTACAATTCATAAGTTAAACTGTGCCCTGTTATGCTGATTTGTGAAGCCTGCACAAAGTTAGAAATTTATTCACCTCAAGGCAGGCTTTTCCATTTGTATTAACCAATGACTGCTGATTGCCATTGCTACTATAGTTTCTTAGATATAAAAACCCCTGTGTAATCATCACTACAAAGACAGAAATTGAATTTTCACAATTATTTTCCTGTGTAGCGCAAAAAATTCAGCCTTATTAATTGGGCACATAGAAGTGATTTTAACCTCACTTTCTAAGATATCATAAAATACTGATTTAATACTGATGGGAGATAAAAGGTAAATATAATAACAGCAGATCAACAATTACTTTTGTTTCACATAATTCTACAAATACTGGCAAAAAAACCATAGATTTTAAATTCAAGTAGTTAATATTCTAATGTATTTCAAAGCTTTCAATCAAAATGAGTGCTGCATTCAGATGTTTCTGAAACAATGCAGTAGAGACTCCCATCAATCCAGGTCAGCATATCAAAAGAAGATTATTTCAGTAATGTTTTTCCTCCCAGTACAAAAGCTGCACTAAATAAACTGTGTCTCTTCCAAAAAAGTAATCCCTCTAAAAATAGCAAAAATCCATTCACATGATCTGTGATGCAAATTTACAAATGCTGTTTTTCTTTCACATATATTCAAAAGGCTTCTTAATAGCAAAACACAACTATTTATTTAATTTTTCTACCTTTCTCTTACTTCAGATTTCTGAAACATCATCTAGATCATCTCACCGGACTATAAAACCCACACTTTAATTGTTAAGTTTGCATACTCACCTCATCATGGTCAATATCTGCATCTCCAGTAATGACAATGCGCTTCTCAATTCTTGTTTCTGATACTCCACCTTTTACCATCTGCAGATGTCAGAAAAAACAAACAGAAAAACATCCCTGTAATTATTCCATATTTCCACAAAGCACAACCTTCTGTTGCACTGAAGCAACAGCATCTGAGCTGTTCTGTGTCTGAGTTGCAATTAGTAGTAAAAGTGTTCCGTGCTAAACCATCCTCTCCTTTTTCAGCTATGCAGTTGGCCACCTTCTAACAATTGCTAAACTTGATAAAAATCAAGCAATAGAAAATGACTCCTTTTGCTGGAGCCCATGTTTGGCAAACTAATTCCAGCTTCTTCTGCCATATAAATCTGGAAAGTCCAGGAGTCTTTTATTTCAACCCATCAACCATGGGCCTCTCCACAGTCATAATCCTATGACACTAAATACAAAGATGATCTGGTTTTCAGTTCTGTCCTTCAAGGACCTTCATCAGATATTTTCAACATATTTCACCCTGCTGAATAGTTTTGTGCTTTTTTTCTTCACTTCTTTTTCTAATGATTAAAACACTTAAGCTTATAAAAAAATTCTCACATAAATAATGTTATCTGCCTTTTAAATCAACCTATGTATGAGAAAAGAATAAACTACTAAAGATACACTGACCATACTAGGGAAGAGCCAAGAAGACACTCTTAAGAATGCCATTAGAATATTCAAACTATTTTGGAAGGTCCCTTTACCAGTAATTAGCACTTTGCAATGTAAAATCGAAAGTCAACTTAGGAAATTCAATCTTGCTACTGATGGCTTATCATCAATTCAAAAAAGATACAGATCTGCTGCATCATGGTAATTCCAGTAATTTTTCAGTAGAAGACAAGACTGAAACCATTTTCTTTAATTGTTTCTTCCAAGAAGCAAGACTATTTGACATGTGAACTTGACAAGAAAATGTACGCTTCCTGTCAAAACTGTGGTTCAATTAATTGAATAAAGGGTTTTTTTTTCCTAAAATGGTGGTGGCTTAATGATTCCAAAAAGGAGCTGAAGTCTGAAAAGGATCTGTTGAGTAGGCTTTATAACAAATGCATTTTTAACATACGCATTTTTAATTCTAAGCTTACTTTATTTCTTGTGACTCACTTTCCAATATTATTCTTCCACTACCATTTTGTGCATATGACTTTCAATCTTTAGAATATTTCAGTCTTTAGAAAATATATCCGGTGAGCAGGGAATTATTGTTCAATTCTGTCATGCTGTAAAACTTCTGTATCTTGGGGGGCAATCCTGAATTCATGCTTTTGTTTCTCTCTTCCATTTTTCTTTACGCTAAACAATGCTTTCTACGATTGTCTTAGAAAAAGGAGCTAAGAGTTCAAAGAGGAGCTGAAAACTGTGTTTAGGCATGCCTAAAATTTGACAAATATTTACTTAAACTAGTGATAACAATAATCATCATTACGCTTTGGTAGTTCTAACACACAAATGAAACATGTAATGTTTCATGCTTTCCATGAACAGATGTGATGCCCTGTTAACACTGAGTTTTCCTTTCCTTTTCAAGCATGGATTGCAGAGGAAATGATTCAGCACCCAAACACGCTTGCAAAGTAATAGAACAGAATGTTCTGTTTTTAAATATACCCTAAACCTAGAAGCATAAGGAGGATCAACACAAAGTCTGGGAAACATTGTTTCAGCTCATCATGGTGCCATCAGCAGGGCTCCAGTGGGCCTCAGACAAGTTAGTTACACTAGCAAAGATTCTGCAGGATATCAGTGGGAGAGGACAGGACTGAATCTGTAAAAATTTAGTTACATACTCATTTGTCAAACACTGAAAAAACACCTATATGAACTACTGAAAAACAACTAAGCATATTTTTCCCCCTTTCCATGTCCTATTCCCAGATATTCCTGCTTATTCATTAGGACTTCTGTCTTCAAAATCTGTACAGAAAGATTTAACTCTCACACATGCCTGGAATAAATCTCTTCCATTTCAAGTTAGTTTTCCTCAATGAATTAGCAGATCTACAAGAAACTTCATGTAAAATTGTGAGGTTTGAGGGTCTGGTGTCTTTTTTAATTAAGAAAGACATGAAATGTATTTTACCTTTGTGATGTGTGTAGTTGTGGTAGTAGAAATGGACTCTGATGTAATTGTCTGTGCACTCACCAGCACACCGGTATCGCCAACAGCATTGCCATCAAGCTATAAGAGAAAAAGGTATTATTGTATATTGGCATTTAAAAAATGTTTTCACAGGAGAACAGGCTAGTTTTCTAACTGAATGCATTCTTTAATTCATCTAGAAGTAAAATCAAAATAGAAGCCATCCAAGTTCACAGAGTCAGGTAAGGCTATTCTTATGGCCCATTCCCGTGGAGAATTCATGGTCACAGTTACATGTTCCTTTTAGGAGCAATGAGATATTTTAATCAAGTTTCCAAAACTGGATTAAAGTTAGTTATACTTTTGCAGACAGCAACTAAGTCCTTATATAGAAAAAGAAAATTAGAACTTCTTAATATAGTTTTGTAACATTTCACTTACCTAATTCATAGCCAAAGTATAATCTTATCTGCTACGAAAAAAGGATATGCTTTTGAAAAGCATTTTTGGACATTATCTATTTTGATCTATATAAATGGAATAAAAATAAGACTTCAAACAAACTAGTCATGGTACCTGTGAAGATTCATATGTGATAGTTTTAGTTTCTGTTTGAACAATCGGAATTTCTTTAGTGGAGATTTCAGTTCTCTGTGTGGCATCTGAAATGGTTACCATCTCTGTTTTCACTACTGGAGGCTGTGATGCAAGAAATAAACAATAAATTCAAAAGACAAAAGAAGTTTTGGGAAGTGGACCAAGAAAACACAACCAAAAGCTCAAGAAAAGCGTAACAGTAAGATAAATATTTTACTGACTTCCCATACAAAAAACATGCAATAAATAAGCAAAATGAAATGAAGATTAATACATCAGCCCTCTAGGATATCCATTACATTGTAGGAAAATCTAATCTCCTAAAAACCTTTCCAAAGTTCAGTGTTTCAGTCAACAGCACATACCAAAGATCAACTGCTAAAACAAAGCTACAATACTGTATTGAAAATGTGTACAAGTATCACTATGAAAAAAATTAAAATCTTAGTTTGCATAAAGAAATTGACAGCTTTGAGGTAATCTGAACTAATCTGGGAAAATACCTATCAGTATCAGGAAAAGACCTCCTCAGTCTACAAATCAGGACCAGAAATTCTGTAAAAGTTTAACTTCTTAATATGGATTACTTCTGGAAAAGAAAAGCTTTTGAAAACTGGATTTTAAGCAGTCTAAATTTTTCTGGAAGTCAATGTCTTCTTTAGACAAAGATCCTAAAAAGCTACTTCAACAATTTTGAGAAAACTAGTGGTGTTCTCTGCAATATCACAAACAAAGCAGTTAACCTGGGGTCTGTAAGCTCGTGAACTCATTACTTATTGGAGCAGATTTTCATTAGATTTAAGAACTAAAGCCTTTTGATATTTTTCTAGATGCATCAGCTGCTATCTTATATTGATTTTGAACACACATAGGGTAAAATCCTAGGAAAAAAACCAAACTGCCTTTCATGCTTGCACACACAGCAGCCCTTCCTTCCCTTTCTCCAAACTATCTATGCTTTTAGGAAGTGGGGGTGCTTGCAAATTTTAAAAGTCTAGTAAACGAATTCTTTCACATCACTAATCAGAACAGCTATATATCTGCAAAACAAGGAAAGAAAGAATGTGAGTTGCTTCGATTAGAAACTGAAGAAAAAAAGGATTGCCACCATTACAAGAATAAGCAGGTAGAGAACTACAAAAAATCCACTAAGCTGGTGAAAAACTCAGCAGAAGATCATGACAAAGACATACATGCCTGCCTTCCATTTTTTCCCTCTCTGCTTCTTTATAATTTGCCCAGTAATGAACTCTTCAACCTTGCTTGGCTTAAAACAACTGGTTGTGACAGGAACCCACGCCTGCTTCCTAAGAATCTACTGCCCTAGAAGATTTGACAGAAACGTTATGATACGAGCCTCACCACGTAACAGTGCAGTGCTCTCACCTATGCAATTTCTAGCCATACATATTCTAGCCTACAAATCTGTCATGTTTTATTGAAGGAGGGTAAAAAGGTCAAGAAAAACAGTGAGTGAGTACGGGGGGGGGGAAAAGGAACAAAAATTTGTGTCAGGTGCTTTCTAATTTCAATTTGCAATAGTTTTCCAATCACAATTATATGTCATGGACTTGTCAAAAACAGTTGACAAATAGACAAGACAAGACTTAAAACACTGGAAACATGTAAATAATAAATACACATTATGTATGTGCATATAAAATACGGAGGAGATTAAAAAAAAAAAAGATCTCAGTCTTCGGAAGGTTTGCCTTTACTGGTGATTTTCACTCAGTTCTAGCAAAAAGTCAGAAACCATAACTGAAGGAGACAGAATTTCACTGCTCATCAATGGTTTCCCCTTCCAAATGATCTGAATCTTGTTGGATGCCAGAAGATGTGGAGGAATAGGAGAAGAAAGGCAGGTATATTTTCACCCCAAGAAATATCTCTGCTTAATCTAGTTGTCATACTGTTCTACCATTTACCTCAGAACAACAAATTAATTGTGGTGCAACATCAATGTCAACATGAGACACATCTCCATTGAGTTTCAGCTGTTCCTCCTCTTTTTCTTCACCTAAATCTTGCTTAATTTGCTCTGACAAATTCTTCTCTTCTGTAGCTACAGTAACTGTATTTTCCTGGACCAAATCTTCAGCTGTAACTTGTGTGTGCTCAACTGGTACATTTAGTTTACTGCTTTCTGGTACAGCTTCCACATGTTGCGTATTTTCTTCATGTTCTTTCTTTTTCATGTGTTCCTCTTCTTCCTGTTCTTCCCTGATGACATCCTCAATTGCCCTATGATGTGGCTGGTATTCTCCCATCTCTTCATCCTCACTCTCACTACTACTGCTGCTGCTGCTACTATCTGATGGCAATGATGAAGAGTCCTTTTTTGACACGTGCTCCACCTTACATGTCTCCCCAGCATCAGTGGCAACTTGCATTTTCCCTTTGTTGGTTTCGTCTACGACTACTGTTTCTTCTATCCCAAACTCTGCCTGCTTCTTCTCCTCCACTATGTCCAGAGTCTCATGTGAACTCTGCACAAAAAACATGGATGAGGATAAACAAAAGTAGAGTATATGAATAAATTAAAATGCGGAAAACAAAATTAGCTGGTTCATGTCATATGGAAGACAAAAGATGGCTGTGATGGTTAACTGGAAAAAGAAGCAAGGAAAGAATGAAGATGGATTGGAAGAGTTAGAACCAAATTTAGCCATGGAAAAAAATCTGCAGAACCTTATCAGCATCGCTGACTCCAGTACAAGGCCCTTCTGCTCTGGAAGCATGTCTCTGTGAAACAAAAAGCAATCAGAGGACAAAAATCAATGCATAACCCTTTTCAACAGTGCAATATCCTCCAAGCAAGCTTTTAAGAATGTATACACATGATACTAGAGAGATGCTATGTATTCACCGCAAGATGCTAGTTCCGTTACACTTTATCAAAATATTCAATCTAAAGTAGGTAAGAATTATGGAAATTACTATTGGTGTAAGAATTGAATTATGAAAGCCTGAAAATAAGAAGCGTGAATGTACTAGCTAGTGATGCTACCGAGGGAGTTATTGCTCTCAGTTAAATCAGGAATTAAGAATAAATAATATTAAAGAAAAATAAATAATATTAAAGAAAAATATAAAAGAAAAAATAATGCTGGACTACCAGTTTGCCATAATTTAAAAAATAGTAAAAAAGGTGTTATTGGAGGGTTTTAGTAGTTGTTTGTCTTTGGCCTGTTACTTGATACAACTTAATAGAAAATGAGAGGAAGACTGCTTAGGGTAGCATGTTGTCAGAATAGCAATACACGATTACCAAGAAGATCCCATAAGAACTTAGTCTGGAGCCAAAAGGATGCTATTAAAGCAGCTATATTAGTATTTGTTCCATAACAAAATAATAACGGCTATCTGAAAGCCCACAGTAAATGATGTATTAAGCTGTCAGGGTTTTTTAATCGAACATACTTTTAGTGAACGGTCTGCGGCAAAATTAAGAGCTCGAATGAAAGGAACACAAAAATCAACACACCATCTGTGACTTAATCCTACTGCTGTTTACCTAGCGCAGCACCTACGGAGCGCAAGCTTAGCCAAGCGCTGATTCCTCCCTGTTTTCTGGCGTGCTGCAGATGCAGAGTTAAGCCCTGAGGCAGGCACGCCGCTCTAAGGCAGGCCGGGACGGACGGGAGCAGCCCGGAGCCGTCCCCGTCCCTGTCCGTGTCCCCGCGCCCGAGCAGCACCTGGGGCCCTGGCGCGGCGGCGCCCGTCTGCTCCCCCGCAGCGCCCTCTGCTGGCCCCGGGCTGGCGGCGGCGAAGGGCCCGCTGGTGCCGGCGCCGAAGCGCTCCTTACTAAACAAAATGGAGGTTATCTCCTCTTCCAGGCTCTAGACGGGTCAGAGAAGGGAAAGGACAGAATTAGACAGCGGCGGACGGAGCGGCAGCCACCTACAACGGGAGAGGTTTGGCAAGAGAGAGACGTGACAAAGGCAGCGGCTCGGCAGGAGCAGGGGGCGCGGGCAGGGGAACGAGCGCTGGGGCTGCGCCTCCACCGCGCACCGTGGGAACGGAACATCGACAGTGGCACATCGACATTTACACATCGACATCTACACGGACCTACAAACAGCACAGCTTACTTAGCTGGTAACTCCGTATTTACTACTGGGATTTTTTTTTTTTTTTTCCCCTTTTAAAATCCATTTTTGACACCTTCCAAAGCCCAGCTTGATCAGAGCTTTAGGGCTGTCAAGACATATTTGCTGAGAATACATACCCACAGCACTGCAATATTAAAATATTTCTTACATCTTTATAATAAATGGCACATATATTTATATACTTAAAATACTTAAATATCCTAAAGCAAATTCAGGTAGATTAAAAATCTGTTTTCAAAAAGTTTTCCCCATTTTAGTGGGAAAACCCGTATTTTTCAAACATTCATAAAAAGGGACACATTGCTTTAAAGCATAAGTTATGTTCATTATCTGGTCTATATTCTGTAGGGCTATATATATCTGTATGGTTAAGCAAACTTTGAAAGTTCATGTGGGTACAAGCCTCTGAAAAAGGCTACCATTCTTCTATTTCAGATTTCATTCCACAAACTCTGGTAAGAAGTAAAAGTGGTTAAAATAAAAAGCCAACAACATACAAATACATAACATGGACATAACGCACACGCTGACAACATGTCAAGAGATACACTTCCTCAAGGGCACTACAGAGAATCATGCCAGAAGCAGGTGCCAGAGGAAAGCCAAGGTGCCATGCACATGACTGCAGCCATGGGGACTCACCGTGTGAGCAGTGATGTATGTGAACTATGAAAGGACAGAGGTTACACCATGCTGCTGTACGGACACTACAACGTGTATGGTATGCAGAAAAACAGAGGAAAAAGAAGAAGAACCCCTAATCTGGATTTTTGTTACGTTTGGTTTTTTTTCCCTACAGTAAAATTCAAAGTTTATTTCAATGGTGGCTAAGAAGAGTTAACCAGAAGTTATTAAATCTGCCTTCATGCAATATTGAATATCAACTAGGGCAATGTGTTCCTTATCCCTACTATCTTTCCCTAGTTTACTCCACCCAAGAAACATTAATCTATTAACAGATTACATCAAAAGGAAAAAATGCTCATGGATCCTCCTTTCATTGTACTCTGGTACCTTGTTTTTTGATTGCTCAAAGCAGTCACAAAAAAAAAAAAAAGCAGGAGAAAACCAGAATCTTTATGTGGTAGGTGGTCAGACTGTGTTCATCTCTCTCTAACCCTGCTCCCCCTTATATATATAATTAGACAGACACATACCACCCATCTTTTAGCACTTTCCCACCTTCAAATTTGCGGGTCATCTAGTCTTTTAAAATTAAAACCCCAGTCACACAATTAGTTTGATAATGTAGCCCCTGTTCCCTGGAGCATTTAGTAGAAAGGGTTAAATGTATAGATAGAATTAATCAATTTTGTATCAGCCTCTGTTTAAATTCCTGGCAAATTCTTCTGTTACATAGTCATACACTCTAACATGAAATATTTTTACAAGCTATGGGATATGGATTAAAGAAAAAAAAATTGTGGGCATCCATAAAACAAAAATATTTCTCCTATTTGCAACATATATATCAATGTGTCAGTTTTTGTTTAATTAAGTCACAGATGCTGTGCACTTGCCAGAGTATGGTGGACTTAGAAGTATAGTGATCAAAATGAGATGTACCCAAAACAACATTTCTAGGACACAGAAAATTATTTGTAAGCAATTTTGCTGAAGCAAAAGAAGAAAAATAATATTAGCAGTGCTATCCCTGCTTTATTCTCATCTATCATTCAGCTATCCTAAAGGACAGGCAAGGATCAACAGGCATCCATCAACAAATAATTCAAGGTGGAAACACAGTTCCCCAAACGTCATATTTATATATATATTAGTGAAATAGGACTGCCAGCTTCACATTAACCTAATAGACAAAATGTAATGTAAAAAAGCAACATCACAATTGCAAACTCATCATCACTATCACACTGCCACTAGTCCCACTGGTTGGAGTGCTTTTCATTGCATAGATGTTATCAGGAACAAAACCCCCCTCTTTTCCTTAATGAAAAGAGAGGTACAGAAGTGCAGAGGAGTTCAGAACAGGTTGCTTTTGAAATGAAACTGCTTACACAGCATTATTGATTTAAATAATGATTACATAGTGAACACACAAAGCAGAAGTTCTTGTGTGAAGTGTCAAATAACTGCAATAAATTATTTCCATATAGAATGAAAATACATGTTTTGCTGTCATCCTAGTCACATCAAATACAGTAATTTTCCAGTGAAAAACTGGGTTATTTTCAGCGGCCATTCAGAACTTCGTGGTTATTTTGATGTGTAAGAAAAATGTTGCTGGCATTCACATATATGTGTATCTATACTCATATACACACAGAGATCCTGGTTTACAACTCAACATTCTCCTTTTAGCATTGGCTTTAAAAGGTTATTTTCATAAAAAAAAAAAAAAAAAAAAAAGAAATAAAAGAGAAAAAGGAAGAAGTGCCCAAGCCACCAAGCTAGCCCACAGCAGATGCAGCAAAAAAGCAGCAGGTTTCAGGGCAGCCACCTTATCAGTTTCCTCTGGTTTTGCTCCAGCAATCCATGGCATTGAAATCCATTGTTTCTCCTTCCCAGGCAGTGTTTTCACTTGGAAAATGTGGTCTCCTTTTTTCTATTTGGTTTTCATTTTATAAAACCAGTGTAAATCAACAAGCAATGAGACAGACATACACTATACATAAACATAAAACCAAATCATCTTGAAGTGACAGAACATACTAGATGAGCAAAAAAACCCAAACCACCAGATATAAAATAATTTGCAGGGGCCTCAACTTCAAGAGAAAGAAATCAACAGAGAAAATAAACACAACCATGTAACAAAAATTAAGCTACACTTTTACATAAATGTCACTTACAAGCAAAAATATATTTATAGCTATTAAATGAATCACTGTGTCATGAATGTTTGAAAACATGACCAACATTTTTATCTGTGCCTATACCACTATATGTAGAAATATTAAAGTACCACTCAAATTTAAGGAAATTTTTGGCAGTACGACAAATTAACAAAATAAAGAAGTGATGCATAGTTAGTTGCTGTGCTCTCTATATGCACATACTCACAGTTCAGATCACTTACAGATCTTACTGAAATAATGTCCTATTATCAAAAATAATTTTGTAGCATCAGGCCTGCTTAATTGAAAGCTCACCTTTCTCTGGACTAAAAGAAAGCTGAAGAATTTAAGGGGACAAGACAAGGATACATTTAAGGAAGGAAGAGTGGGAACCATGGTGATAGACAAGGAGCAACAACACAATAAACTGATTTATTTAAAAGACTGATTTACTTATCTACTGTATGAAAGAGACAGCTAATAACCCAGTAGAACTAGAAGTTTCACAACAGCATGAGAAATTTGGGTAGGTTTTTTGCTACATGCATTGAGGGTGATATTTGTGGAAAACTGTATTCCATACTGCTGTTTCAAGGTTCAGTCAGAAAGGAGAGGTAGAAAGAAGTAGATAAATTCATTTTACAGACTTTTAAAGATTAAGATAGGTAAAATTTAACAACTACATTAAATGTGTCCTGAAGTCAACACTGTAGATTAACTGATCACAAAGTCCTTCTGAAACAAAACATGGACTGTGTGTATTTATGCACAAGCTGTTTATGAAGAGATAAATATATAGAAAAGGAAGGAAAAGCCCTACTGTCACTGAAAAATTATCTCTATCAATCTATGTAAATCAGAGTGAAATTTAAGATATCCTTAACATACAGGAAAAAGCTGCCATCACTTCTGTTTTCTTCTAATTCAGTTGTTCATGTGGAAGAATAAAATTCCACCCATTATTTGAAGTCAGGTCCAATAGTAACAGTAAAAAAGTTAATGTATACTTAGTATAAACAAATATTATATCAGACAAATAAAGTGTTAACCTGAAGGACAAACTGCATTTGCTGTATGACAGAGGGTTGTATGGAAAGGCATGCAGACAGGTGTGTGCAGTGACATACCCCTTGTGTCTGTAGGGACAGAGGTGTGATACGCCGCTTTTCCCACTCATTTGGGCGTGGTTCAGGTGTGGATTCCATGAAATTGCGCTTGAGCTCACTAATGCTAGCCTGGTGTTTCAGTAAGTCGTCCTGGGTCTTATCCAGGTCCTAGCAACCCGCAACATAAAACAAAGTAGGACAAAACACGACAAAAAAAGCAAACTTAACTGAAAAAAAAAATAAATAAATAGAAGCAACCAAACCAAGAAAAGTGCCTTGTGTCTGAAATGGTGACCTCCTTTGTAGTGCCTCAAAATAAAAATCTTTAAGGCTATAAGGGACCAGGATTTTCTGGTTTTGTTTTTGTTGTGAAGTTCTTACTGAAAATTATTGTTTCTTCCATATTTTAAAGCAAAGGAGAATAATGCTGTATGTGGTTATTTAGCAAATAGCTACTTTCATCCAAAACATGACACTACTAGCCCTTTGAAACAATAATAATTTCCAGAAGCTGTTTGCTTTCACCTAAAATTTGTAAGCACAGAAGCAAATGTTTCAGGATATTGCACAGCTAACATAACTGAAGGTAGCTGTAAGAAAGAATAGTTTAACCCAAGGAGCATAAAAATGTGTCTTTCCTGCTATTACAAGCTCCATGAAAAATACATCTGTGAACACAAGGCCAAATATACAAGCAAGCTAACACCTGCTTAGCTTCAGAGGGATAACTCATTGTGCCTCTCACACAGGCTTAAACTTACTGGAAGGATCAGATTTAAAGACTTCAAACCTGTTACCTGCCAATTCTACTTTTAAGAACCTAACAGCAGACAGATAAGTAGGAATAGTTTTTGTGCATGCCAGTACCAAAACAAATTATCTAAATTGCACCTCCAAAGATCAGTGCCAAAGGGGACACCACAGCGTGAATACCAATTTTATCAATTAGATTTTGTCATGACCATTGAGGCCAAACTGCAGCACCTTGGATCAAATAATTACAAGGTATTCTTTCACTTTGTACCAGCTACAAGGCAGAGGTAAGGTTCAGGTGCTATGCCAAAATATAAATGCTCTAGTAGCCAGACGAAAATATATATGCTTAGCCTTCTTGGGAATTCACTGTCTTCTAAATACAATGGCTGGGATTTGGTGAGCAAGGCAGATTTCACCCTACTTGGACAATTTGTCCTCCTTCCACCATTCCAGGTCTCAAAAAAAGCCCATGTTGCTTATGCTCATGCTAACACAAGAATATTTTTTCAGTAGTGTTCTATAGTTTTATTCAAGTTTAAGCCTTGGATCCATTTTTAGTAAAGAAATAAAAGACTGAAGATGGAAATGAAATATTATCAGTGCAGACATAATTATTAAGGAAGTTTCGTCAAAAGAATGTAATCAGAAATAATTATGTAGATAAAGAATCTGGATTTTTTACAATGATTTTAAATACTTTTTAGCAGAATGTTCCAAAATCTACCATTTATGTTAGGATTTTTATTGATACAATGATCACAATGCAAAGATGCTTCACATTAAGTCATGAAAAACCCACACCCCAAGCTCATTAGTTTCTGGTTTTTTTTCACTTGCATGTTCAGCCCCAGTAAGGGTTTGGTGCTGCACATCTATTTCCTAACATTGTGGATAAGCCTGCATGCATTTTGAACATTTGAACCTCTCCCCTTCTGGCAATTCAGCAGGTTTGTATTGCCACAGGACCACTTTTCATCCTGGACTAACAAATGAGACATTAAATACGTCCCCCTAAAGTTTGTATTTCCTGAGTGAAGTAAAATCTTATGCCAAAGGCATTCTATTATGCAACTGAAGCTCGTAACAATCCCATCATTATTTTAAGACCTGTCTTGGCTTGACACAAGGCACATTTCTTGGACTTGATCAAAGCACAGTTATGCAATGCACACTTTCAGTGCTTCAGTAAGTTATACACAAGCAAAGTTTCAATAGTGATCAAAAGCTGCAAAAAGCCATAAAACATTAGTTGGGTTACTGCAATCCACACATCTCCTCCCTATTACTGAGCAAAACCAATGTTTTTTTTAAAAAGTGTTTTTGTGACAAAGGGAATTATTTATAGCCCCATATGAATGGATAAAATATACAGCAGCAGGATTTTTTAAAACATTTTCAGTTATTACCTTAAGTTATTAACCACAAGTTAAATGATACTGATAATAACTACAGACAGTCTCTGATAAAATAATTTATATTAGCAATCTACATGAAAATTCTTATAATAAAAATATCTACTTCAGTGACAATGCACTACATGTGAACATACTGTTCAAAGCTCTTTGCTGTTGCTCATCTACAATGAAAACCAACCTTCAAGAAGCAAAATTTACTTCCATTTGAAAAGGAAAAAATAAATATTTCAGAAGATATCCAAACATTCCCTTTGAATATTTGATCCTTGTATCATTGCTCAATGTTCCTAAAACCAGTGTCAGAATCAGAATTAATTTTCTATACTTCTACTGCTTGCCCCTTACTAAGTCTATTTATTCAGCTAATGTATTTGAGGAAACTTGATTAAACTGGCAAAAAGCTGGAAACTCTACTCAACAGAAGATGCAAACATTGAGGTGCAATGTACAAAAATCCATTTAGAATTATGAATTGCACCCATGTGTCTGCTCTAAATAGGGCTATTATTCCCAGTTGCCACCTTGAAAACATTTAGCAAAAATACACAAATTTACATTCAGTGTTCAAGCTGAGGATTGGCTGTGGGTATTTTGCATTTGCTTGTTTTTTGTTTAAACTCAGAAACTAGAATGGTAACATGCAACATTTCCAAGCCGGTTTTCCCCATGCACTTCATGCAGTGTGTCCATAACAGCCTGCAGGTGACCTCCCATCCCATGCAGCCTGGCAGCCCGTGAGAATGGAGAGTACTTTTTGTATTACATACAAACCTCCAACATTAAATTGCTATGTCTGACATAAATATTTTCCCCGTCTACTCTCAAGGAACTGATCTGTGAAATTGAGCCACATAAACAAAAAAAAAAAAAAAAGCAAACAAAAACAAAACAAAGAACATAAAATGGACCAGCAAGTAAATAAAAAAGGATCCTTATAATCAGACAGTTAAACAAAGGAAATAAAATGGTGAGATGAAAAGGCACTATTCAGACAAAACCCACAGAAAATTTAGGGTGCTAACAAGGAAGGCAGCCACAGCCAGGTTCAATTGTAAAAGAACAACCAAGCACCTTCTGCTGCGCTTCCTCCTCTTCATATTCCACCTGTGTGAGCACGTGACAAATCATCAAGAAAAGGAAGCGTTAACATCGGCTTACAGACTAACACAGAGACTTCATCTCTTTGTAAATGCTGCAAAGCGTGCTGGATTTTACAGACCTTTACTGTTTCGGCCCCAGATGTCGAAATTAAGTGACTTGGGTCTTCTTGCACCTACATTGTTGTAGAATGGCTGAAGTAATTTTTGGCATAAGTGGCATGAAAAATGGAAGTTGCACACTGTGTCCCTTTCTTGCTGCACTTTTTATTGTTTTCCAGGTGAAAATTTAAGAATGAGTAACAAACAAAAATGATATGCATAATTTCTATGGTAAGTGATTTAAATTCTGCAACAAATTGATGGGAAAATGGAATCTAATCTAATCCAGGAGTTGTTTTGGGAAAAGATTTTAGGGTTCAAGTCAAACACTTAAACACTGTATTTACAACCAGTCTTAAATTTTAGGAATGTTGTCTTGGGATGAACTATTTGCACATACACACACCCACCCCTTGTTAAGTGAATATATTTATTCTTAAACTGCAATTCATTCTGTCGGTAATTTTCTGTAGCTAATCTTCATATCTCATCTCCAAGTATTCAGAATGCCTTAAGGAACAGCATTCTTTAAAAAGTGAACCACTTCCTGGTTGTCTTTCCACATGTACAAATATCAACGGGTAACCTTAGGAAAAGATACATTTACAAGTCAACACTGTGCAAGTCCATAAATCTGAAGATGGATTTACTGCTCATACCGTTGCATTTTGGATTCTGTGTGAATGATGTCATACATATAAGGTTTTTATTAATTTCTGACTCATCTGGGGTTCCATTTTCAGTAACTACACTACAAATTACTAATTGAATTAGGCTACAGAAAAACTGAGAAAATCTTGAAGCTGTGTTTTTCATTATTTTATACTTAGACTGGTATTATAATGACATTGTGTCATAGTTACCACATCTTTAATATGTACATCAGTTTAGCAAACTTTGTTAAATATAACATTAAACAGATCCTCCTCCATTCTGATTCTACAACTGGTTTAATATTTTCTTTGAGGATGAAAATAGAAGACATTTTTCCAGTGGTATTGCTGTAACATGTGCAGTAGACATAAGGAAATGAGGCATTTTGTCAGCCATTCCAGATGATCAGAACAACATACTGGTGTGACTGAGGCTTCTGTACATTTTAGCAGTGTATTCCAAAGAATGCTCAGACTTCAGTGATATAGTCTGACACAACTTGTAATCCCAGCTAAGGAATGAAATCAGTCTCAACTGCTGCTAGAGATTCATCAAAGCATGTAAAAAAAGAAAAAAGTGACTTGGACAGACTCAGCTTTGCACACACCCTCGCAGAGCTGAAACATCTGAAATTTGGAATAACAAAACACTGATTTTAAAGTATTCGCAAGTTTTCTGAATTCAGCTTTTAGGAATTTCATTTCTCAGAAATAAACAACTTCAGAGATGTGCATTCTAGTCAATGCATGCAGGAGACAGGCATTTTAAAACCAATTTACAGCGCAAATAGAATTTGCAAATAGTATCAAATAACATATCTATTGTTACACACAGTACTTTCATTATTCAGATTTATGTGCTCACTAACATTTTCAACTACAATGCAAGTCCCACCTGCAGCTCAGTATCTGTGGAATTTGATGAGATTATGCATGCTGTAGGAAATTAGGCAGAAAAACCATGAGTTATCTATTGACTACAAATCTCACAATGGCAGTTTTTCACAATTGAGAAATGCTAAAAAGATACAGATATACACATGTGCATTTGCGTATTTATATATGTATTTACAGGCTCATACACAGACATACCTCTAAACTAGGAAGTGTGCAAAACTGAGCAAGCCTCGTGAGAACAAGCATAAATGCAATGTGCAAGTGTCAACGTTTAAGCAGCAAAATTACACACCTCCTCTTCCTCTCCTTTGTCATTCAGGTCATTGCCATTAGAGCTACTAAAGGAAGTCACCTTAGGCTCCAGGTAGCAGAGGGACAGAGCGAGAGGAAGGGAAAATGTGAGTGAAAAAGGAATAGACTGGAAAGCAGACAGAAGCAGGACAAAGACAAGGAGAAAAGAGGGGATGAAGGAAGGAGAGGTAATAGGAATATAGTGCTGAAGACCAGGTGGAAGGAAAGAAATGCAAACATCAGGAAGGCTAGGAAAAGTAATATAGCCATCCTCATCGAGCAGCGAACGGAAACTAAAAGAAAGGCATCTGAAGAAGCTGCATGAGACGCGCAACTCAGTGCTTTTGTAGTCATTTGTATGGATTCTTCTCTCAACAGCAGGGGAGCCTCGACTAGCTAGGGGTCTCATAGATTCAAAGGTATTAACTGGTGAAGCTGTTCTAGATTTGTTATGATCTGATGTTTGTTCCATGGAATTGCACTCTGAAATGTCTGGAATGGTAAGGAGGGGCTCTTCAAAGGGATCTTCCTCTGAAATATCTGAAAGCATGTCGATCTCAGGGACAGGTGACAAGTTTGTGAGATGGGATGACACAGAATGGATGGGCAGTGATGATGGGTGTATGTGAGTGAGCTGAAGAAAAAAATTCTGTGCACAGTGGAAAATGAAAGCACAACAAAAATGCAAGTTTGAAGCACATGAAGAGGGGAAAAAAGAGAAATTATTAGTTAGTGAAAACTTTTACTTAGAAGAAGGGATAGCTTTACTAACACAATAGAAATAAAAATCGCGCTGTGTTTTACAAGCATCCAACTTGTTTACTTCAGTGGATTATGAAAGGAACCCATTACAAATGTTTTGTTCTCAGGCTGTAAAGAACTGTGCACTTTTGAACTGTAATAGTCACTTAAAACAGATGGAAGCAGACAGATACTCAAAGCTTTGGCAGAAAGGTCAAAGGACAGTACACGAAAGACAAGCTGGGACTTCTTGGGTTTATAACTGTTTTCTCTAAGACTTAAAGAGAACCAGAAAGGAAAAGAAGCATCTGCACTAGGGGAAAGAAAAAAGCTGTTCACAGAATAAGCATGTGTAACAAAACCATACTGAACAGCTTCCTGGAACAACTTCCCAAAATACTGCCTTCCCCTCCTCCACTGTTTTGGTTGAAATATTGAAAGATCAACCAGTTTTGAAAACAAGGGAGAATCACCATCTTACCAAGCCCAAAGGTAGAACATAGTAATTTATTTTACCATTTTTCTCCCATAAAGAAACTGTGTGTCCCTTTTTTCTCATCTGTTTCAAAATTATTTCAACTCGTCAGCAAACAAAAAAAAAATATGCAGCTGTGGTATTTGTTCTCTTTCTACACTTGAATGGAGTTGGAACATATGAACTGCACAGAAAAACACAGCAGACTCATTAAGAATAAAATGGGTAGCTAACTTGCAAAAATGTTTGAGGAAAAAATTACTCTTTAAATATTTAACTAAGTTGTTAAATTGCTGAAGTAGAGAAATTACTGAAGTAGAAATGATCTCCAAGAGAGAAAGAGCAGAGATTTTTACCTGACACTTTAGGAGGAAATTTTCACATCGCATCATACAAAGTATAAATTTTTTTTACCTATTCCCCCAGTAGCTCAAGCAAACAAGACAAGCAAACATTTGCAACAGGAACAGATCACAGTACTTAACTTTTCACAGAAATCTATACCTTAGTCAACGTACAAGTTTTTAAAGGATGAAATAATTCTGCAATGGCTACTAAAACAAAATTGTTACCTACGGTAATTAAACTCAATCATATATCCAACTTTGTAGAGTGTACACAACCATGGTATAATAACATTTTTATTCCAGTCTGAACAATTATTTACCCTTTGAAACATTTTTTCAAGAACTCATGCAAGCTTATTGAGCATTTAAATTAGATTTACAGCAATAAAGGAAACTCTCAGTCAGGGCCATTTAGAAGTTTGTATTCTCTTACATATGCATACATTAAGTTAAATACACAGAAAGCACTTGACAATTTTCCTTTAATATTTTAATATAGTGTTCTGTATGATACTCAGAACTGATTGACACTAAAGAACTACACATGGAAACACACATCACATGAATAAATAATTTTGGTATGAAAATCAGACATACCTTTCCATCCTGAGTCAACTCTAATTGTGGAGTTTTGAGTGGACTTTCATCTTCTTCTCTGCCACCTTCTTTTAACTTGGCCTGACCAGCAGCTTCAAGATCAATGATTTTATCTCCAGCAGCCTGCCCTCCAGTAGCAGAGAAATCTCTTAGAAGACTTCGGTCTGAAATACCCATGGGAGCTATTAGAGAGCAAAATAATTTTGGTTCATTTGGATAAGCTGAATCATTTTTGTTTTAAATCTTATTAGGAAAAGCACGTTATGATTATATCAGCAACGAGCAATACAAGCTAGTTGCTGATTGATACAGTATTTTTCAGCTTCTTGGCTTTACAAAAAGTCTGTCATTCCCATTGCACTGGTATGAACAGCAATGCACCCCTGTCATAAAACTTGCACTTATTATGTATGGAAAAGACCCACACAGTATCAGACAAGTACTTATCAACTTCTTTATTAGTCTTGGAAGATAAATTGAAGGTATTGTTCTTTTGGGTGTGTAGATCACCATTAAAAAAAGAGAGAGAAATATTCAAGAGCATTTTGAGGAAATTCACTATTTGAGAGGACTAATGCGATCCAGAAATAGCTACACATATAACTGTCACAGTATTTTTCACTGGAACCTTAGCAAAACTGCACAAACAGCTCAGTGAAAGTAAGAACTTTCCTCCCTATATGCTTGCAAAAAATGGCAGGGGGAAATACTAAGCGTGTATACTTGAATGTAGTCAAAGCACAAGAGAGTGAAAGGCTTTAAATTATCTCTTATTTGACTCAGCATAGCAGGACTAACTGTTGTTAGTACAGCTCAATTGTAGCTAAACTCACATCACTGTCATACCTCACTTTTACTTCAGTGAAGTTGTACATGCCTGAATCTAAGTCAAGCTTCATGTTATTTTGCTGAAGTGTTTTTCTATTATATATTATTGCAGAAGTGATTTTGAGTAAGACATGGGATTTTACATCTCTCACACATAGTGCTGCTATACCTGCCTTTGGAAAGAGTGCCTATTTCCAAGCCAGAAGGTATTTCTGCTCAAAAAGACCAAATACCAGTAATGACAATAAAACCCTTAAGCTATTCAAAGTCAACGTAAAAGTTTTTAACTGAACACTAAAGTGCTGAATAAATATACCAGGATAGCAATATACTGAAGAAAATGATGGAAAACTCTACATAATTCATTCAGCTTTTTCTGTTTAGAGACACTCAGGCCAACCCAGATCCCAGAAGATGCCACTGGCCAAACAACTTTATATAGTCTATAGACTATATATTCATATAGCCTATGCCTTTAAAAAGGTATGAGTAATGTACACAGATGCTACAAACCCAATACAGAGAACTCCATATATTCACAGCAGTGCCATACCATTTAGGCAGCAAGTGAACTCAATATGTAGGTCACCTAAAGCTGACAAGTACTTAAAGCGGCTTTAGATCTGTCAAACGACCTTCTGGCCATCCGTAATGTTAACATTTCTGAACATTAGTCAGGTCAGAGTGACAGCACATAATGTAAATACAACACTGAAAAAACAAGTTGGATTTCATACCTCCATCAAGGCTTCTGGAAACCCGTTTGCTGGAAGTGCGTTCGAAGTACGGAGCTGGTCTGTCTATGAGGTTGCTGGCCTGCCGTGTCTGCGCCTGCGTACGGCCGCTGTAGCGGAACTTGGAACCCAAGGTCAGAAACTTTGCTTTTGGAGGCTGTTCTGGTGATAAAAGTCTAAAAGGGAAATACGAGAAAAGTAATTTTAAAAGGTTTTATTTTAAGTATTTAATAACGTAATTTGAAGCTACTTATTGTACTTCAGTTCACAGTGCGTAATCTGTGCTCTCCAACAAAGGATTCTACTGTAAGCTCTCCAAAGACCTTTAAAACAATACATGTTATTTATTGTTTGAAGTTGGAGTCAAAGTGATGCTGATAACCATCACGTTTTTCCACAGTATGACTAAGCATCTGGGACTCCTATCTTTTGGTGCTATCTTGGTTAAATTTTAATTTTTTGTAGAAAGCTGAAGCCATTATAGGTCATGTAGAATACCTCTCAGATCTCTCCTTGGAATGCCACTTTTAGTAAAAGCTATACATTACACTTCCAGTGCCTTTCCTGTATTCTGAGGTACCCATACAGCAGTAGCTCCTCCTCAAAGTTAGGGAACGGTATCTCAAAGCTGTATAGAAGGGAATATCAAGTGAAAAAGATTGAGAAGACTGGAGAGTTGTTACCCAATAACAACAAGTTTAACAGTCTACATTCAGACTGTAGTTTATTTACACTGCCATTTATAAAATTATATAGGTTGATGTTCACTAGATATAAGGAGTGGGAAAAAGAAGCATATTGTGAAAAGGGTGAGAAAGAGAGTTACATGTACTGTTAATGCAGGGTACATGTGTTTGCATCGTAAGCGTTGGAGTCCTTGTCAGAAAGTCCAGAAAGGGCTATCTGGGGAGGTGGTGGAGTCACTGTCCCTGGCGGTGTTTAAAAAAATACTGGATGTGGCACTTAGTGCCACGGTTTAGCTGATAAGGTCATAGGTTGTCCATCTCCAAGGTCTTTTTCAACCTGGTTGACTCTGTACCATCATCACATGAGTTTGAAGACAGGTCCTCTCTACATCCCTGGATTTCCTCCAGTATGAGGACTTCAAGTTTGTACTCATCTAACCCCTATTGCTTGTACTTTGTTTTTGAAATCCTACCATCAACTGCAACACTAAGGGTCCACCGCCATCCTTGCTGATAAGGCAAACAGTCATCACTGCAAGAACTCTCCCCAGTCCCCTCTTTTCTGGAAAGGCCTTTGAAATTGTTTCCTGGATCAATGTAAAGCTGCAAATATATGCTCACCCCTACTCTCTCTGGGTATAAAACTATCATACTATTGCAGACAAAGCTTCTTGATTTGAGAATTTGCAAAGAATGAGCAGCTCACTGAACATCAACTTCTTTCAAGCAGAACCAGTAATTCATGTGCCATTTGTACTGAGGATGGGACAGATGGGCAAGTGAGAGTTCAAACTGTGCTGACTCTGTCCTCCTCCTTCTGAAGCATTTGCACAGAAATATCTGTGTCAGCAGAATCTGACCCAATATATGTTAAGGCAGTAACCACTACTAGCTTCTGAAGACTACAACAGTCATTTTAAAAGTGTTTCAGCAAAACTGAAGAATTTTCAGATACCTAGCAAACAGAACAGTGAGCTACTGTGCTGAGCTGATCTTGGCTGGATGCCAGGGCCCCACCAAATACACTCCCCTTTCTAAGCTGGACAAAAGAGATAGATGTAACAACCAGCTTATGGGTGAGATAAGGACAGGGAGACATCATTCACCAATTGCCCTCGTGAGCAAAACAAACGAGACTTGGGAGCAAATCAATTTAATTTCTTGTCAATCAAATCAGGGTAGGAAACGAGAAGTAAACCTGAATCTTAAAAATATTTTTCCCCCTTTTTCCTAAGAGGGGATGTTCACTGGGGCACTAACCAGAAGCATACAATTCCCCAAGTCTAAGATGCATATGCATGCACCTGAATCTTAATCTGTTCCAACATTTATAAATAAAACAATTCAAGACAAAGTAATCCACTCTTCTGCATTGAAGTCACTTACAAACTTAAGGCTTCACTTTCATTGCTTCAATAAAAAAGTCTTTCCCCCATTATTTCTGAGAGGGAGTGCATTATGTACTAAGAAGAAGAAGGCTAAAAGGGTTTTTCCAAGGTTCCTTCAGTTCTTGATTTTCCAGTCTTGACAAGGTTGCAGCATTAACTGCCATTTTTATCTTCCACCCTGCTGAGATAAACTTTTAATCTTTTAATGTGGAAAAAACAGGAGAACTAATTACTTCCTGATTAAGGGCATTTGAATGGATTCTTGTATTACAGGTTTAATTATGTAAAATAACTGAAATCTATATTTTTACCCCTTTAAGACATTTGGAGGAGATGATTAAAAAAATCATGAAAATATCAAATAAAACACCAATAAAGGCAAAAATATAAGCATGTTTCTGCAGACACTGGTTATGATCCAGAGCTGCCAACTAAGCTTACCTCAAAATTTTTATTAGATATATGGTTTGACTGTATTTTTAAAGTAGGTTGCTGCTCTTTGAAAATGCTACTGGAATCCTCTAAGTTTGAGCTGATAACAAGTGAATACAATGCCCTTTGGTAGTCATTTTCAACACAGTTCATTACAATTTTTATAAATAACTTCATACAGTGGTGAATTTCCTACACATTATAAGAAAATGGATCTTAGTGTGATTATTTGAGACAAACTGAAACATTACATAAGACAACACAAGGAATCTTATCATGTTATATAGGACATGCTAAGAGATTTGGAAGCTAAAAATATGCATCTAAACTGTATACAATTTACTGTGGCATCATACACAAGCTTTACACATGCTCTGAATGAGCTACAGTCTCTTGGACTAGCAATTGCTTTCTGCTTTTTATCTTTGAAGGAAAATAGAGCTGGCTTTATTTTACTGTTTTTAAATCAGGATGAGAGGTCCTGAGGATTTTCTCTCTGATGACATCATCAGAGTATATGGATTTACAGAATGGTTCAAGTATTTGTTACATAATTCTTGTTATAATGTCAGTCCTGGTTAGGAAAAGCCACTTCTGATTGGAAAAAAATCCAATTATTTTTATTATGTCTGAATTTTTGTAGTAAGATTATTTCATACTTATTAATGCTCCTGAAAGCTTTCAGACTTGCAAATGGTAGTTGTCAGTTTAGGATTTTTGACTTCCATAAGACGTGCTTTTTCTTTATTGAGGTCTATTTTAAAACTAGGAAATGCATCTTACCAACAAAGCAAATCGCTGCATGAGTTATTCGAAGAGTATTAATAAACTTTTCACTGCGGACAGAACCGCATGCTATTTGTGGTAATAGACACCAGCAGCCAAAGCAGACTTCAAATCTTCAAGAATAGAATGCTGGACTACATTAATAAAGAAATTCTATCAACATGAAAAAAAATCTCTGGTCAGGATATAAATAAGAAGTGCTTCTAAATAAATCATTTGAAGACTGATTTATGCTGAGATTTTGCAATCTCAGCATAAATTCTACCTTTGCATTTAAGAACATGCTACATTCAATGAAGATCTGAATACTGAAAACCATCCAATGAGACAGCTCCAGCACTCATCTCCTTAGGCCTCCTGGTCCCCAGGCTCTCTGAAGTTCTGCCTAGCAAGTATATTCAGCAACAGGATTGCATCTACTTTAAAACAAACCTTTTTTTTTTAAAAAAAAAACCACCACAGGCTACTGAAGGAGAAAGCTTACCGTTTACACACCCTAGGTACTGTACTTTGAAGAAAAAAACCTCAGATTCAATGCCTATCCAATTCACAGGAAATTCAGCCTAAACCTGTGACTCCTAGGCTGCAGGAGGCACATGCACACTCTAATGGAATGTGTGTTATTGTAAAAATCAAATGACGTCAAAATCCTTTTCAGTGGAGGAAGTACACAGAGGAACAACTCTGTGGCCTCTTGTTTAGGTGCTCATTTACAAATAGATCATCGTTTCAATGATCAATTCAGAATTCTGTGCTCCTCCTTGCTGGAGAAAAAAAAATGCAGAGGATGTTATGGATTATTACATAAACCAATAGTCTGTTTAAAGTGATTCTCTGTTCTTTGAAGAATGACTGAACTCAGCCTAGTTCATAAATAAGGAAAAACTCAGCTAGAAGCATTTACACTCAGCAGAATGTTCAAATTAATTCAATGAAGATTAGTGTCAAGCCCTAAGAGCTTCTTGTGATGTATAAGGGCTTTCTAGATGGTCATTCTGAAAAGTCAGTCTCTCAGGAAATCTTACCACAAACCACAAAATGTGTCAGATTGGAAGGGACCACAGTGGGTTGTCTGGTTTAACCTCCCTGCTCAAGCAGGGTCATTCCAGAGCACATGGCACAGGATTGAGGCCAGACAGCTCTTGCATACATACAGTGCTCCATGACCACTTGTTTAGTTTCATCCTCTCAGCACTCTGAAAGTTTTGATAAAGCAATTATTTGTGCTTGAGACTTTAGGAACTGGTAATTTGGGGTCAATTATTGTCAGGGTATCTTCTGTCTAAGAGGCAATACTCAAGGGGCAAAGAAGGGGAAAATCTTTACTTTCCTCCTATCCTTTAAAAGAAAGATATTAGCATACCTTGCAAAGTAGGGGAAGGAGAGAATTATCATTTACCTGAAGAAAGTATGGTGCTCCACACAAACCTTCCATAATCTTTTAGCAGCCCGATGGTTTGGCAGTTTGAACCCAATAGTGCTCTCAAACTGTTCCAGCTGGAAAGAATCCACAAATAAATTAACCCATTTCCTTAAGCTGGCTATTAATTCATAGGTAGAGTTCAGATAGTTCCATTAAAGTATCAAGCTGTAATACTCCTGCCATAAGACTTAAGATTTTTTTTTTTTAAATTTTAAAAATATCAGAATTTCCAGCCTTTTAAAAGATTTATACTTTTGGGCTATGTCATGATGGATAAATTGCATGAAGCAGTTGCACTGCAGATTGTGCTTTACACTTTGCTTGGATTTACTGAAAGTCTAAAATCCATACGGCAGTGTTAAACTCACATGATTTGTATCACTAGATATAAGACTTTCTCAGCAAAAATAATTCATCTAAGCATCAGTCAGTGCAAGAACAATACATCTGCATTAGAAAACTTACATAACTACAATGTTAATATTGTAAAAATGGTGCTTGGATGTCTTATTTATTCATACAGTAAAAGCCACCTTAAAAATTTTACAGTATAAACTAAAAAAGCATTACAGTATTTGACATTTTGGGGGTTTTGTTAAATTTCCTGTTACAAAGGGCTCAAAATGTTAACATGCACACATCCCCTTCAGCAACTCCCAGAAACTTTTAGCTGTAACTGAAGAGAAAGTTGAATCCACTACTTCCATAGCAGCTAATAAAGTTATAACATTCTACAGCACAACTCAAGCTTTTGGTTACAGCCACAAACTTAATGTGCTGACATTTAGTAAACGATTATACCCAAAGAGGAGCAGCTGGCTCTCTCCCAGGACTGTAAGTTTGCACAGTCAGAATATGGCCAATGTAATTAGCTTTTTGTGTAAAAAACCCAACAAAATAACTAGACAGCTTCTATTAAAAAAAAAAAATCTTCCTGGTTTGCCTTTACTAATCAAGACAAGCATTTAATACAATCATTAGAATCTGAAGAGGAAAAAGCATTCATAAGTTCTGCTTGAACACATAAGCTTATGAGGACAACTGTGGAAAAAATGAGGATTTTTTTTTTGTTGCTGGACAGAAACGATTTCTCAAAAGAAACAAGACTGAAAGGTGCTACTCACTTCTGCTGGCCTGACTTTGATGTAGAAATTACTTCGCTTGTAGGAAATCTTCAGAATTTTTGGCCAAGCGAAGCGGTTGATCCGGAGTCTGTCTTTGTAAATCAGCAGACCATTAGCACATACACCCAGCATGATATCCACACCTTCAGAATCCTACCAGGTATGAGACAATTTCATAAAAATCACTTCAATAACATTCCAAACAAGCAATTACTACTGACATACCTTGAGGGAATATTGTAACTGAGACATGTTTAATATTCAAACCTGACTCTGACAATGACATTCTTAAATTAGAAATAGTCAAGTATATCCATTTTATAGGAAAGACTTTGGACTCTAAGTAATGGTTTTGGCATTCTTATGCCACAGTTCTGGGAAATCCTTCAATATTCTGGTAATAGGTACTAAGTTAACAACTTAAAAGCGGGAAAGGTATGGCCTTTGTGTGTGCTAGCAATAATTTCAACAAATATTAAAAGAAGAAAAATGAATACCAGGTCAAAAAAAAATCAGTCAGTGAAAGTCTGAACAAGCTGGTGAGCAAGATGGTCTTTTACAGTCACATACTATTCCAACAAAGATAGAGGAGGTAATGGGTTGGTTTCTGAGCATTCTTTCGCTGACAGCATTTGATGCAAGTTTTACAAGATACAAAACTAATGACTTACTGATACACTACACAGTACAGGAGAATTTCATATCCTCCCCAATGACAGATCAACTACATCAAATGCCAACACTGTCATTACAGAGACAACACAACACTGGCAGAACTAAAAAATAAAATTTAACAATGTTTCTCCAGTACTTAAAAGTCTTGGTTTTCTTTTTAAAATGCAAGACTGATATGCTTACAAGACCTTAAATTTCCTAATGATTTGAGACTCTGGATTAATGAGAGGGAGTGGGAAGAGGTTATAAGTTTGTCTTTTGGGGTTTTAACTAAAAAAAAATAAATTCACACTTGAAATGAAAATTTGATTTGACCTACCCAGGAAGTGGAAAAGGCATCAAAATCCTCCCCCTATTTTTTAGGATCTCCCCCCTATTTTTTTAACTCTCATGGTACTATGAAAACAATTACGTGTTCCTTTAGGCTTTACTTTATTGGCTCTGCATCTCCTTTTCACAGAAAATATGACATTTTAAATGTATTTATCTGCTCTTATGAGTGAAATATTATTTCCAAGATGCACATGTCTATGCATTGTAAAATTCTACTGCTGTTAGAGTTGTAAATTGTGTAATTATTGTAACCAAGAGATAAAGGCTTACAGACAAAAAATTAAGCATATGACTTTTTTAAAAATAATCTATGTATAAAACATTTTCTTTAATACTTAGCACATGTATTCTAAAACAAAACCAAACAAACCAAATCCACAATACCTTGGCATGATGTAAATCCACTCCATACATGGAGAGTCTTTTAGCATTTTCTAGGAACTGGGAATCCGCCTGTGCTGGAGTCAAGCCCCTAAAACCATTGAATAAGTCTTGAGTTTATTGGCAAAAAAAACCAAGAGTCAAAACTGAATGGAATCCTGGAATTCAGACTGATACAAAAGCCTCAGTTTATAAGGTATCAATAGAATTTTTGTTCTACCGGAAAAGTGTTCTTTCAGAGCATATTATTTTACTTGAGTACAGATTTCCACCTTTACTCTTTCAAACTATCTGTATGTTGCTTAACCTAATTCATATAAAAATACTTTTTTCCAGAAGTTCTCTACCAAGACTTTAGTGCAACTACTATTTTCAAAGTCAACTTTCTAAACACATCAAAGTAAGAACTTTCAGTTACATAAAAAACAATTTCCAGAGTAACAATAAATTTACTTCAGCAATTTTACACATACTCTTAGGAGAATTGACATAAATGTGATGAAGCAAGATGACTTCTTCTAATCCCACTGTATCTCACATACCTGTGTGTTTTGTGTAGCTCAGCCACTTTCTCTTCCATTTCTTGAGTCTGATTGGGTGCAAACTGGAATTCACTGATATAATCACTGCTGTGCTCCTCTGGGTCATGATCACCCAGCTCAGCCTGCAGAGTATATGAACCAAGGAGGGCGTGAGTCACAAAAGAGCACGGCAGTCGGCCAGATGCAATATCCTGGCGAAGCTGTAGGCACAAGAAATACCTGCAAGACAAAGGAGAAAAAAAAAAACAACCAAAGAGAAAGAAGAAAAAAGAAAGTGTTACCTTTGGCAGATAATGAGAAATACGGCAGAATTCATCAAGATGCATGTAAGCATTTTTTGAAGTAAGTGAATGCATTAATAATGACCTTCTATTATTTGAGCATTATTACTACACAGTAAATTTCACTTGATTTTTAAGAGTCAATACTAGTTTAATAAACAATGTGAAAAGTAGGAAAAAATCTGATTTCCAATATAAATGAATAAAAAGCTATCTAGTTTTAAATAAAAGCTGACTTAGGAACTCGTTCAGTTCACATTGTAGTCCGTAGGTATCTATGGTTTAGAAATATAAGCTATGCATTTCTTTGACATTTCCTTTTGCTTTGAAAGTCGAACTTTTATATCCCTTGCAGTTCACAAGCTAATCGTGTCATGTAATACACAAAAGAAACCTGTACTAGATCTAGATACTAATCTAGTACTGAAACCATAATTGCCTTTCTTAAATCATGTATGTATTAGAATTCAATCTTTCAGGCACTGTATACAGCCTTCTACCAAATTTAACAAGTTAAACATCAGCAGACATTGTATTTTAGCAGAGATTTTTTTTAAATGTAAGTGAAAAAAGTCTTACTAGTGAAACTTAGATTGAAGATATAACCAAAGGATGTTTTTATGAGTTGAACCACTGAAAATTTTCAAAGAAAACACACACAACTTCTTGTAAATACACTCTGTACTAAATGTCTTTTATGATCCTACAAATCACTATCTGTAGTAATATATTAGCTGCACACTTGCACAACTATCTTATTTTATGCAGAAGACTTATGCAATGCAACATGTAGTACAAACATATATCCTGCCTCAGCAGAGTCAGTTGACTCCAAACTGAAGTATTTAGGTTTCCTGTACCTAGTGAGAAAAATTAATCAGTTCCCTGTATTCTATCCCCAGTAATCAGCCCTGCAATGCTATTTTTAGGTGCTTAGTATCTACTGCATTCCAAGTATTTTCTAAGTCTGGAAGGTAGTTATTTTCAGGTTTTATTATGTTTTATGGCTTTATTTAAAGCATATGTGTAAACCCACATTTTCATCAACCTAATCTAGATTATTACTGAAGTATCTAGGATCCCTTGAGCTTTGCTCAAGACCCCCATGCTTTCATTTGTTTCATAATAAAGGAGCAGTCTGTCAATAAACCACTGGCTTTTTTCACATACTACCATGCACACTTTACCTGCTGCCCAAATGATATCCCTACTTACCACTAAATTCTTCCTGCTCAGGTTTCTTCCAGAAGTTTTAATTTTACCTTTTCAACCTTGCTCCTAAAAGCAGTTGCTGTATGTATGAATATCTATATTGTGCAGTACCCAGAAATTGAAGAAGAAATTTTATGTGTCTTTTAAATGAGACTAACAGTAATTTAAAGTTTAAAGTTAGGACCTGTGCATACCTAGTAATGTCTTCAGTCAACTGCGATGGATCAGGGGGATAAAACTTCACATTAAAGGTGAATATCCACGGTAAACCTATACATGGGAAATAGCTGATAGTTAATCTCAAATAAGTCCAAGTAAGCAATAAAAAAAACTTTACTGAAAAATGTTAAAAAGTAAAATAAAACTTAATCACTGAAATATCAAAGGAAGTTTTTTTTTATTTTTACTGTACATTATTAAGAAGCATAGATTATTTTCATTAGCAGGTAGAGACCTACAGACATAATGAATGATAAGCGTGTTTAAAAATTATTTTTAAATAATGTTTTACAGTAAGTTACACAAATATCAGAAGACATTTTTAATTTGAAAACAACCGGAATATATTAGCCCTCTTAAGATATTGTCTGTTCAAAGGTACTTGCATTGAATTTGTGTTTATTTCCAACTCCTCCCAGGCTAACAGTCTCCTCCTGTCTAAACTTAGTTCAAGAGACTGCACAGTAACTGTGAACATGAACTATTGGAATGAGCTCTGTGTTGTTGCATATAACAGAAAGATAATATATTATTCATTGAGACTGCGTGGAAGACAAAAATATTAGCCATTCCTACTTTAAAACATTTTTCTGGTAAACACCAGATTAAACAGCTGCAATAGCAGTGAAATTTAAATTCTCATGTGTTACAACTGTTAATAACACATGTATTTTTTTTAAGTAAAAGCATGCTTAAAACTAAATTAGTAATTTTAAAAAGCATGAAGTGTTGCCTTTAGTCATGTCTCTGTTTTTAAATAAATTTTTGAGGTTTGAAAGCAAAGTCACATGTCAATAATTAAAATACATTTTCAGAATGTTAGATTTTTGGACAGTAAATTATTTTCAAAATCTGTGTTACTCAGATAAATCATGCTTTGAAAAATGTGTCTTTCTACAGCAACAAAAAAAGACTGAAATGCCATTTCCAACACAATGCTAGAAAAAAGTGCTGACGTTATTTAAGGTTACTTTCTTTAAAAAAAAATTGTTCTGAAATTCTATATATAGTAAAGAGGTGTGTCCAAATTTCTAATGTCTTCCAACATTTAAAAATTATTTTGGTTTTTCAGAGATGGCTATTCACTGAAGCACTTCAATTTTTGTTTAGGTATAAACCTCATTCTACAGCTGGCTGCTAAGCCACTATTTCTTTTTGAGAGCTCAGGGTTTTAGTGTATCTTAGCATTCCCAGTTATGAAGTTTTTGTACAATTTTGTGTACAATATAAGGCAGGACCCTTAAATTAGGTTTCATTTATCATTGCATCGTCTACTGCAATGCACTTCAAAACAGAATTAAGACAAAAATATCTTGGGGAAAAAGAAGTCTGACGGTAATGAATATCTACAGCATAATAAACAGAGTCAAAGATGGAATAGATTAACCTACTTCCATCATCTCCCAGGGAATCAGCATAATTTAATGAAAAGGTGCTGATATCGGTTAAACCAAAGTGATGAGTATGAGCAATAGGGCCAAAATATCTACGCAGAAAGCATTCAAGGAGAGCTGTCATGTTAACAGAGCTGTAGACAAATGGATGAAGGATGTATTCTTCCTCACCGGTACTAAACCGGTCTTCAAGTTTTTCCTGGTCTAAAATTGCAGTTAAAGTAGTCACATATGAATTCCTGTTTAACTGTTGCTCTTTCTTGTCAGCATTTCTACAGCTAACTTTCAGAAAGCACTACAGCCAGGAGACTTAGGTGTGGTTTGAAGAAAAAAAAATACCTGAAAAAATATTCTATATGCTTTATAAAAAGTGTGTAAATCCTCTGTGTGTAGTCTTCGTGAAAAAAAAAATACTCACACTCATACTGATTACATTTCCAATTTATTGAAAAAATATTGAAGTTGATTTTGTACTAAATATTTTCTGGACAGCTGATGACTATGTATTTTACCTGATTACTGAAAGGACATTTATCCCCTAGATACAGAATAGCAAGTTTATTACAATGTGCAGTCTATATTTCTACTCCTCACTAAAGCATACTTTTTATAGCTGCACAAACGAGGCATATAATCATAGTTGTCCTCACATAATAATGCACATTATTGCTGTCTCTTTATAGAGTTGGTAGCCAAGACAAAAAAATACAAAACCCCAAAGCTGATTTAAAATTATATTTAGCATTCTGTCTCTGATAAGGCTCTCTGTTTTGACGTTCAGCAGTATGGGCTACAGAAATGTCAAAAATTTTTCTAGCCAGCTAGTTACATCAAAAATGCTTCTGTGGCAACTTTAGGCACATTCTTAGAGAAAAAGAATGCAATATAACCAGCATACAATTAACATGATTCATCCCATTTAAACTGGGAAAAATCAGTGAGGGGTTTTTTTTCCCAGTAAAGGCTTTTTCTGGCTTTTACTCATGATCTCTTGTATGTCAGCATTTCAAGAAAACCCTTCCTTCGGCACAGGTAATTAGTTCTCTTCAACAATAACAATCTGCATTCTAGTGTAATCAGCTTAGGTCAAAATTAGCTAGAACTCTTACAGATATATAGCTAAATATATATAAAATAGATGGATATTAAATAAAGTGAACCTGCATAAAGTGACCACCATGTTTTGATGCCTGAGCATACCCATACATTTGTTAGCATTAAAATCAGACAGCCAGAGTAGTGCACCTAAAATGCAAGCTCTTTCCTAATTAATTGAAACTTCTTAGTACCCCAGCCTATTCTGTATTCAGAACATCTGAATACTCTCCATTTCTTACAAGAAACAGAACACAGAATATGTGATGTGGAAGTATTGCTTTCAGTAAAAATACTAATCATGCTGCAGGCTAGAAAAAGATTAAATTTACATAATATTACCTTCCATTTAAACAGATAGATTCCCAAATTGAATTTGGTATAACGGTGACCCAACAGACCCTCTGTGTAGTCTGAGATTTAACTATTTCAAGGTCAGTTGCTATTGCTTGTATCAGCACAGTATTCTAGCTGTGATTCTCAGTTTTGCAAAAGCCTGAATCCACTTGAGATGTACCAATTTTCAAAAAGATAGTGACAGAAATGTAATTACCTACCTGTCCCTGAAAGAAGTAATTAGAGGTTTTAACACATGCCAGTGGATAGCCAAGTACATGAGTTAAAAAAAGTCAAGAATTCATTTTCCTGAAGAGATCAGGCTGGCTGAAAGCAAACAAGATTTTTGTCACCTTTGTAGCCCTGAGAACAGAGACAGTAATTTGTGGATCATGTTCATTAGCTGAAGTAACATCAGTAATTGCTGAGATCCAACATAATTGCCCAGCCAAAGGCCAACCTGGTACAAGTAAGAGATTGCACAGAGGGGCTGAGGACTGTGACACAGCCTGCAGAACATGACCTGGGGGAGACTACAGGATTCTTATTTTGTCTTTCCCAGTCACAAGTGGTATACACATGCCCAATGTGCAGAGTATTAGTGTTGCCCACATTTAAGAGAGACAGAGATTGTTGTAAATTTTATGTTGCAAACTGATGTGCTGAACTACATTTCTGAAAGTGTCACCTTTGTGTGTTCAGATCAATGAATTTGTCCAAACACACTTATCTAGCATGCTAGTGCTTCAGTTTGCACCATACAAGAGAAAAAGAAATCACCGAATATTTAGAGTTGGAAGGGACCCACAAAGATCAGCAAGTCAAGCTCTTAAGTGAATGGTCCATAGAGGGGGTTGAACTCACAACATTGGCTTGTTTTTTTTTTTTTTTAGCACCAGGCTCTATCTAGCTGAGCTAATCTCAGGTTCAAGAGTTTTGTCATTTCCAACCTTCAAACAGACTAAAAGGTTTTACAGGTATCTTAAATCTAATGAGTAGTTGGTTTTTTTTACATTCTTGATTAAAGACAAATATATTTAGAATTAAGCCTGAAAAAAAAAAAAAAGAAGTCTCATTACTTGATACTTGTGTAGTTGGAGGATTAAATGTGCCTGCATTAAGATTCCAATATCCGGAAACTTTAATAGACTAATGATGAGGAACACAACTAACAATATGTTAATTACTTGCATATTGGTGTAAGGAAGTGTCATTTAAAAATCCTTAAATCATGTTCTTACTTCACTGTTTATTTTATTATACCTATCAGCTCTGCAATACTATAGACCAGAGGAAAAAAAAAAACCATCCTGTCATGATTCCTGATTCAGTAACTGGACTTGCTCTCCAGTATAAAATACAGGTCTTCATGCTGTATGGAAAATGAAAACCCCTTAACATATTTTATTTGTAGTGCATATGATACAGTGTTAAAAAGAACTTTGTCTAGTGCATCCAAAAAATTTTCAGGTCAGTTCTTACACTTGTGACACTAACTTGTACATTAGATAGCATACAAATTGCTACAGAAGACAAAAAGATACCAACATTTGTATCAAAAAAGTTGATACAAAAAGTTTGAACATATGTCATCCTTTGTAGTTTATTCAAACCAAACATCCTTTAGTCCACACATTTGGACAACTAATAGATTTTCACTGAAGACCTGCAGAAGTTCCAATACCAGTAACTTTTTCTTAATTAAAAGAATTAATAATTAAGTATGGCTGCTACTTGCATATTAGTACATTCGCTGTTTTAATAGGTCTTGTTTGCTTACACAAGAGCATGTTGGATCAAAAAAACAGCTTCCAAGGATGCTTCTCTAACTTTCATTTCTATATACAAAATATAAACCTTCCTATTAAGGGATTTCATCAATTGGCAAAGATGAGAAGAAAAAAAGGAATTAACACCACTATGACTTCTGGAAAAAATGAGTACTGCTTTAAAACAGCAGAGTTAACAGCAGTAAAAAAACCCATCTGTTTGTCATTATAAATAACACACTGCTGTTCTTAATTACAAATACAGTCAGTTTCTAGGCTTAAATTCTCATTGTGTTGTAAGTCTAGGCTTCTAAATATTATCATCACCCTCTTCTCCCCACTTTCCTATCAGGTACTACCCAAAAGGTTTCCATTAGAAACAAAACAACAACAAAAATCCTGGTTTGGCCACAAATGAGTAAAGCAATGGCAGTAAGTTCAGTAAGGGCAAAGGCTGTCTAGCATGTTTAAGTGGCCACTTATTTTGTCATATGTAGACTCAGGCAGAGTATCACCTAGATTTACTCTCCATACACTCCCCATTTACTACAAAAGCTACCCAGCTAGTGAAGAGCTTTGACAGAGCTTAATACAAACAGAGTAAAATAAATTACTCATCATGTACTGAATATAGGAAGCAGAAAGGCATTTCAAGCAGATTCAGTCTGAAAAGCACTGTAGCAAGACATTCCAAGATTATGCTCTCTATTCCTTCTCCATTCTGAAAATGATGGACATTATCAAAAAAGTCAGTGGTGAGCTCATCAGTATTGAATAATATACATTTTCTGTAAAACATATTAATTCTCTTTTTGTAGGTTCATATTCTTCTGGTGAGTCTTTGAAGAAAGTCCTAAGGCAACAATCATGACCATCTTTGCACTGGATTGCATTCTCCATCCAATAACCAACCATCAGCACAAAGCTGAAGAGTATGTTTCAGGATGCAAAATTATCAAGTATTACTCAAACAAGAGGAAATTTTGAGGAAATAATATATTTGATTAGTTTCTAAAATAATAATTCTTCATTATAATATAGCAATATAATAATAACAACACATAATATAGTATAATTATTGACTTCTACAGCATAATGCTGAGTGATTGCCTCTCCCCTACTTGGACAGGGTATGGAAATAGAAAATTTGTCTACTGTTTTAAGGTGATTACATCACTTCACCACATAGAAATTATTTGAAAGCTGTAAGCAATCAACATCCTACTACAACATTAGGCTACTATATTTATGAAGAATATTTCTGTGAGGAAAAAGAAGAAACATAACATCTGAATACAGAAGTACTTACTTCGAATTTGTCTCTTAATTTCCTTTGAAGAATCTAGCCAGTTCTGAAAAAAAGAACAAGCAAACCACAGCCAGCATTTAAAATCCTCAATTATAAAAATATTTTGATATAATCTGTGCAACTTATTAAATGGCTTTTAGCATTTCAGTTGTGATCAGTACTGATACGTGCAAAGAGACTGTTTTGTGACAGGTCATCCAAAAACTTAACTTTTGGAAGTGAGACTAAGGAATCTGTAACATATATTCATGGGTAATTCAGACAGTCCTGGTTTGCTAGTTTTACCCATGCATGTTAGAAAACAGGCTGAGAGACTAGGAACATAAACCTTTAACTACGGTTACTGAGACTTTCCTTCATTGAGTTTGAAGCTTTACTTCCCATGGCCACACAAGCACACACAAGAGCATTCAAGGAAGAAACAAACAAAGCCAGCCTGACAGCAGATCTTCCAACATTTCACAGACAGATGTGAAATGCAGGGAAGAGTTAGATTGTGAGGCCAAGGAAAATTCCAAGGCTTTTTCACAGCTCACTGCAGGTACTTGCAGTTTTAAAGTCTGAGGGAATAATACCTCAGTGCCAGCACAAATGTTGTCAAAGGCTTGCTTCTACCAATGTTTCTCACCTAACTTAGCAAAGCAGAACATCCTGGGTATAATGTGATCCACTTTTACAGTCTATGGTAGCAAACAAATCCCAGGTGCAACATTGTTTCCCAATACCGTATTCCCTCAGTCTCTATTAGGGGCTTTTGCACCTGAAATCCATCTTCTTTCAAGAAGACAAAAATGCTAGTCTTATTTCACAGGTCTGTGCAAATTAGGAGAATGTGGAACTACATTTCTGCAGTAGTACAAATCTTTAACACACATCACGCCTGGTGACAGAGAATGTCACCTATGAATACGGACCAACACATCAAGTTGTCTGTTGTAAATTACCTTGGTCCAAGTAGATTTTATCACAAGTGCACCATGTATATATTAGATGAATATTATTTACAAATTAAAAGCAAGACTCCCTTTTTATCATTTATTACATTTGTAATGTTTTCAAAAAAGGCATTAATTTCACATTTCTTGCTTTGTCTGTGATCTCTACTTGCCAGAGCTATGATAATTTTTCCAGAGAAGGCAAAGTCCATAACATTTATAACACAGGAAGAGTTAGAAAGCATTTCTCCAAAATCCTGGATACCATTTATAACCACTTAAGCGTTCTTAAGTCAGGAAAATAGCTTTCTGTTAGAAGAACCCTGACATGGAAAAGGCCTTGGAAGACAACGTAAATCTTCAAATAATTTTAGCTCAGCTACAGTTATCCTAGGTTTTCAGTTTTGGCAAGAATTCCATTCTGAAATTACCCACAGCCATATTCTTGCAACTACAATAATTAGAAGTATCGTAAACCTTTACTTTTTATTTTATTTTAGACACAGCATCAAGTAAATAAATAGAGAATATACCATGGAATACCTACAACAGAAAAATATGATTTCCGAGTACATAATACTTTCAGTGCTTCATCTTGTATCATTAAAAAGCAGAGAAAAAAACATACAATACAGACTATGCTGCAAGATTATAGGAGTAATCCCTTCTTTACACAAGTTGTACAGTTAATTTTCTGATTTTTCCAAGCCTGAAATAAGCTTATTGGAAGCAGACTTAGCCACCAACTTTCATTACTGCTTTGTCAAATAAAATCGGATGCTTATACTCCATTTACAGGCATAATTACAAGGGTGGATTTTTATTTTTTTGCATCTGCGTCTTTTGTCATGGATGAAAACAAACACCACCAAAAATCTACCCTAAATTAAAGCTCTTAATGCAGAATAGACAGGTCTGTCTTTCAAAACAAAAGACAAAGTGTATATACACTACTTTCCTCCAGTAGGCAGAAATCTATTTGTTTAATTTGTGAATGGTAAGGTTATGGATAAGACAAAGTAATGTATTGTCAAAGAACAAAATGTTCTCTACCAGTACAAAAGTATTTTGTACAAATCCCGAAAAGCAGCATTTCCAGCTGGCGCCCAAAACTAAAATACAAAAATAAAAGCAGAAGCTTTCTAACAGTACTACAGACCAAAGGGTGAATGGAGCATTCATGAACTTCTAGAGGGTACAATGCAATGAAATCTCTAACTAAACTTCAGGCTAATAAATCTAACATTTGCAAAAAATGAAAGAAATCATTAAGTACTAATTTGGCCTAGATAGTTTTAAACTGTGTATTAAAGCTAACAAAAATAAGTCTGATTGGAAGACATAACCTCTCTCCCAGCTGCACAGAGCATCCATGGAGAAGAGTTAATGGGACTCCTCCTCCAATGGTACCCCGATGGTGCATTGGGGAGCAGCTCTAATTCAAAAGCTTGCCTGGCATTCACTTGCCACACGCCACAGCTGCCGTCGGGTTCAACAGCTGGCTCATAAATGGGTGGCTGTGAGGAGTGCACAAGAATGGGAAAAACACACATCATTCAGCATTTAGTACTGCCTGGCCTGGAGGTCAGGGATTTGGGGCGTTTTAATCTAAAATGGCAACAGTCAGGAGAAAAAAAGAAAAGCATCAGAAAGAACTGGTACAAAAATTAAAAAGTAACTACAACTTAATACAGAGGTGAACAAAAAAGAGGGCCCTAAACCCAGCAAAAGTTCTGAGAAAGTAGGAGGTGTGAAACATACATATGCTAGGAAAGAGGTTTTTTTTAAACTTCTCCAAATAACACTAGGAATGCATTTGTATGCAGACGACAAAATCCAGTAACTCTGGTTGTTTAGTCTTCACAACAAAAAGGACCAGATTTCTCCAGAAGTTTTTAAATAAAAGCCTGCTGCTGTCCATAACTCAGGTGAGAAGTGATCTATTCTACTTTTGAATAAGGACCCCATCATCAGATATTTCTCAATTTATGTAAACGTCTCTTAATTTATGTAAATAATTATGAATGTTGCTTCACAGACAATGGATAAGGAATTCATTATTATTCACACTGAAAGAGACCACTGGACATAACTGATGCAAGTGTGATTCAAGAGCAAGTTTTCAATTAGATGATGTTTGCCCAGGTTCATATCCAGTCAAGTTTTTAGTATCTCCAAAGAAAAAGACATGAAAAAACAGATGGGGTCTTTTTAAAGAGCGGACTTCTGTTTCTCTATTCAAATGACTGAAGAATACCAAGAAAGTCTTAGTCTAACTAGAGGAATAAAAAAAAAAAGGGGAGAGGAAAAAAAAAAGATAGAACACTACACCAATCCAGACTTTTTTACTAAACTTTCAAAAACCTGAGGCTCCCTATTTTACCACCTAGAATCTACTCTGGTGGGCTATTTTCTGGTACAGGTCAAGGATACCAGGTCTAGTATTAGACCATTTCTCTCTTGCCAGAGATGTTTTTGTTATTTTGTTGTGTTTTTCAATACACTGTACAGTGTACAGTTTTTCAATAGTGAGAATCACAAATAAAGCAACAAGCAAAAATAACAGATAATATTAAGATTATGATATCAGTTAGAAGATCTTATGTCTGGAAATGGTTTACAAATCAAGAACCAAAATTAAATATCTAAGTAATAACGTAACAAGCTCCTTTTGTATATGGGGATTTTTAACATAGAGGAATGAAGTATTTTGCTCAATACAGCACAGAAAGCTTTGCAGCAAAGCAAATAACTCTAGCAAACAGCTTAATCAGAATGGAAGTTGTCAGAAATTCAGATTTATTCCTACCATGAAACTACACTTAATTAAAAAAACAACAGTGTTAAGAGAAAGATGACAGGAAAAAAGCAAAAACTTTTAGATGCAGTATGATGTAATGATGCTCCTACTAGAAACAGATTAAAAAGAAATACAGTTTTTCCTGCTCCAATTTGTAATTATTCACCTGGGAGATTTTTATGAAGAAAAGGATGATCACACATATATCTTTATTTCATGGAGGATGGAACAGGCAGCCCAGCCCATAAGTAAAAATGTTAAGATGTTAAAAAGAAAAATTGGACTTGGGTAGTTAATGGAGCACTTGCCACTGATTAAAAATTTTCCTCAGCTGAGCAATCTAGATGTGCTCAACCATCCAACAAAAAAGCAAATGCAAAAGAAGACTGAAGTTACAAAATGGTATTTAAGAAATCCTTTCAAATGCAGTCATCTCAAATGCCATTGATTTGTAGAATTAGCATCCAATACCAGTGATGGACCAGCATCAGTCTCTTTATAAATTATAGAAATTTTCTTTAAACCTGAAATTTATAATAAAGGAACTCAAAGGCCTAGTCATTGCAGACTTATGGGCTAGATTCCCTTCATGTTCATGAACAAAGCACTCTTACACATCTATGAGAAAAGGCAGCAAAATTTACTGAAGTGTTTGAAATGGTAAACATTTAATAGAATATACCTCACTGAATTATTGGAGTGAGTGGCAATGATGAAAAACAAGCAAAACCCTCATACGGGCTTACCTTCTGTTCTGAATTCTCATAAAACAACAGCCCAAAATAGTCCTTTTCCAGTAAATTGAGGTGTTCACATACTTTATCAAACAGCACTTGTCCTTTTGCTCTTTTCTGAGGGGTGGGAGGGAAGAAGGAAAAAAAATAAGGAAAAACAAGAAAAAAGAGAAAATTAACATAAGTGAATCAGTAAAGTCCTTAGTTACAGGTACTGTTATTTGATGATATTATTCAGGAAAATTTCAAATGTACATAAAGCAGATTATAAAACTATAAGCTTTCTTACAAAGACTGTTCACCATATTTCAAAGCTAAACATATCCTTGACAAAATATAGAGAAAGCTCAACTTTTTTTTCAATACATCAAAAAAACCTGAAACAACAATGTAAGTACACAAGGAAAATCCAGTAAAAACCTGAAAGATTTAAATATTTTGCACTATTAAGTGTCACTAAATACTTTAGGTTTTTCTAGATCTTTATTTTTAAAATAACAGAAGACTTCATTATTTGAACCAACTTTTTCTATATTATCTTCTAAAAATTAATAGTTTCTATAGTGTTAACTTTAGCATTTTTATCATTTTGGTATACATCTCAGTGACTTATGAATCACATGATATGAATGCACTGAAAAATAAAATGTGTTATCTTCAAAAGACAAAAAGAACAAGCAGACCACTAACAGCTGATGCTCACACCAGCAGAAGCTGAACATATCCAACATGTCTATTGTCTGTACTACAGTGGTTTGTTTTGAGGGGCAGAAAATAAGATGGCTGCTTTCTGTGTATTTCTGAAATCTCAGTAGACAACAAATTCATTAGATGCTCTAAAATAAGAAATCTTCAAGGAGTTTATTTTTCCTAAAAATATTATTTGTGGAAGTTAGCAACAAAGGAAAGAAGCTGAAGGTTTTATTTGATGTTAGTCTCAGTACCACAGTCTGCTGCTTTATAAATATAGTAATTAAAGACTGATAATCTTTTCAATGTACCCTTAGAAAGCATTTTAAAATGGCAACTTTCAAGCTCACCTGGTGAGCTCAGTATTACTAGAGCTTAAGCAAATGGCAGTCAGTCCTGAAGTTTTATCTGTTCTTCTTGTGACTTTTTCCAACAGAATCTGAATGAGGCTTAAGAGAAGGGAAAGAAAGGGCATGTAGTGACAGGACAAGGGGTAATGGTTTTAAAGAGAGTAGGTGTAGATTAGATATTAGGAAGAAATCCTTTACTATGAGGGTGGTGAGGCACTGGAAGAAGTTTCCCAGTGAAGTTGTGGGTGACCCATCCCCAGAAATTTTCAAGGCCAGTTTGGATGGGCCTCTGAGCAACCTGGTCTGGTGGAAGGTGTCCTGGCCTAAGCAGGAGATTTAAAAATTAGAAGACCTTTAAGGTACCTCTCAACCCAAACCGTTCTATCATTCTGTGTTTCTTGTACCTGAGACTGGGAATGTAAACATTCCATATGTCTGTAGTGCCAGTAATGAAAAGCAGGTCCAGGCTCTACTTCTGTGTGTCAGGTTTTAAGGAAAATCTTTGTATCCTGCTGACAGGAAACAAAGATTTAGAGCAGATGGCTCACACCACATTCTATAAGGGGTGAGAAGATGAGGAGTTCTTTCCATAATCAAATGGTTAAATCTGACCATGACTAGCATGCCGTCTCCAGTTTGAACCAACTCTTCATGACAGCTCTGCTATTTGTGGCATTTATCACAGAGGCCACAACATGGCCTTTTCAGAAGCCTGTCAGCTTATAGGAATTTTTGCATTTGCTTATCCTCCACATTTCAGTAGATGCCACACACCACTGCCATTCCACAGAAACACCACTGGCAGCCCCTGTGTAGGCCCGGGTGACACTGTGGCCATTGTCCCCGCAGAGAGTGGTGGAGCACTCCGTGTGCCCCATTCCGGCACTCCCGCAGCTCGGCTCCACGGCACAGGGCGGTAAAGGCCAAGAGCGGAGGGAGAGGGGAGAAGGGAAGGTATGCACAGAGCAAAGAGTGAAGGCATTGTTGATTTATTCCCCAAGAATCCAGAGCTTTATTCAAAATCGCATTGTCCAGCAGACATTCTACTCAGGAAGATCAGAAAGCTTTCACAGAAGCAAAATTATAAAATGACCACAATTTAGTAGCCCAAGTACAAGGCAGTGGAAAGTAGAAGTCAGAGTGACTTCTGAAATAGGGAGCAGGGAATTTTAAGTCTGTTTTGTACTTCCAAAAAATCTTAGTCCTCAAGAAAGATGACTACTTCCTCTAGGCACCTGAACCACTTAATTTTCTTGACAGCTTCACCTTCAGCTCAGTAAGAAAAATCACCAATACAGAAAAGAGGTAAATTAAAAGCAGAAAAAATAAAAGCAAGAGAGAGTTCAAAGAATCTTAGATCCATGTAATAGATACCACTTTTTTTCCAAAGTCAACGTGCAGGTCAGTGATCACACCTTGAAAATGCAAGTTTCAGTTATACAAATTCCAGTAAAGAAAATACATAGATTAGCACAAAATAATATATGCTATCATACCAAACCCACATCTGGAATCAGTTGCTTTTTTATAATGTTTATATACTAAAACCCACAGTTAATATTAAGTCTTTGACATATAGAAACATAAAGCAGGCAAATCTACAGGAAATATATTGCAAATATAACTGTAAAATATTGCACAGTTTCTTATTAGGAAGTCATAATCAATGAAGAGCTTGGATACACTAGCAGCATCCACTGTGTCTTTAAACATCTTTTTGTCAGTTCATGGTTCTTCCACATAAGGACAAACACCACCATGTCACAAAGCCTAAGTTTGTCAGTCTACATAGAGAGCAGCAAAATGAAAAGACGTTATTCCATCAGCAGCTAGATTAAAGAGCTCTGTTATGGATTCAAAAGCATAAGAAGCCTCTCAGTACCAGTGAAAGTTTTCATTATAAGATCCCACTTGTAAAACTGAAAGACTCTGAGTTATTTATATATAGTGATATATAGTTTTAAAAAATCTAAAAGATTTTTTAATTTGCAAAATCTTCAGGTGCAATTTCTTCAGGGACAGGCATTACTACACAGTTTAAATTATATGATAACAAAACTTTTCTGGAAAATGTCATGTTCTTAGTAGAATGTCTCTAAACATGAATGGAAGATAACTGTTGTGACCCAGTCAGTTCAGAAGTTAGAAATATTTTAATAGAACAGGGCACTCTTAAGAAGGCAGCATCATGGTTTGCACACTTTCTTACTTTTAAAAATGGATTCCATTTAATTTTCTACCAGGTGTTTGAGATGTCAAGTGATCATCACAACCAATATGTAAATTATAATCACTGTTCTTATTCTATGTATGCATACATATACAATTATGCATCTGTATTTACACACGTGTTTACAGCACAACAAATACTAGCACTGAAAACAAGGCAATATTCATATTCCAAATTATAACGCAGAAATATCAGTAAAAATGTAAATCTCTCCTTACTCCCACAAGAAGGGGAGCACATTCAACCTAGCTATACCAAGATGCTGAGAAGTGAGGAGATGCTCACAGAGCCAGCAGTTTAAAACACAAGAAGACTCAAATTAGCAGTATTGCTGCCAAGTTATGCTTTAAGTGAGAACATAAAAAACACATGTAACCAAGGTTATTCTAGTACCAATTTCAAGCCTGTATTTAGACACCACAGATGCCACCTCACAATACAACCACCTCATAAAACCAGAGGTAGCATTTTTATGTCCTTTACCTCCTCAAAGAAAAGCAAACCCGAGCAAAGCACTTGCAGCTGATATATACAATGGAAATTTCTATGCAACTGGGAATTAGGATGTCATGGATCTGTTTGGCTAAATAAGAGTTGCCAACTACTGATGCAATATAAATATTCACAGCTACCAGTTCTGTTCAATACATTTATCTATGATAGGGATGCAGGAGTTGAATGCATCATTAGCAAGTCTGCTAATGATACTCAAGTGGGAGGTGCTACTGACCCCCTTAAGGGATGAGAAACCCTACAGAGCAATATGGATAGATCAGAGCATTGGGCAATAAGTAGCATGAAATTTAGCCAATGCCAGATTCTGTACCTGGGACAGAATAATACTGGGCACAGGTACAAACTGGGAGAGAGGTGGCTGGAGACCAGCCCTGCAGAAGTGGATCTGGGAGTGCTGGTCAGCAGCAGCTCAGTGTGAGGCAGCAGAGAGAGCCCAGGCAGCCAGGAGGGTAAACCCCACCCTGGGGTGCAGCAAACCCCGTATTCAACCATCCAGACAAAAGAGGTGATTATCCTGCTGCGCTCAGCTTTGGTATGGCCACACCTCGAGTACTGTGAGCAGTTCTGGGGCCCACAAATTAAGAAGGTCCCTGAATATGTCCAGGAGGCAACAACAAAGCTGGGCAAAGTGCTGGAAGAAATGTCCTATGAGGACTGGCTCAGGACTTCAGGCTTGTCTGGGTAGAGAAAAAGAGGCCAAGGGGTGGCCTCACTGCTCCCTGAGGAAGGTGAAGAAGCAGGTGCTGAGCTCCTCTCCCTGGGATCAGTGATAGACATGTGGGAACAGTTCAAAGCTGCACCATGGAATATTTAGATGTGACATTAGGAATCATTTCTTTACCACAAGGGTGAACAACCAGTGTAATAGCTTCCTAGGAGGTGGCTGATGCCAAAAGCATGTCAGTATTTAAAAGTCATTTGGACATGACCTTTAGGTCAGCACTTGTGACATGGGTGCTTCCCTGCCCTTAAAGAGTTGATCATCAGGCAGCTGAACTTGATGATGACTGGAGGTCCTTTCCACCTGGAACAGTTTATTCTATTCTTATTCCTGCCTTGTCCTTGCTCTAGCAGTACACACAGAGGAAAATTCTCAACATTTCTTCCCAGCCCTGCACTAGCAGAAAGAATTGAATGGGTAATCATGTCCCAGCCTAGGCACTGAATGTCTCTATGTGGAAAGAGGTATGTCCAGTCTGATGGGTGTGAGAGCTATGGATTAACTAAAACTAATTGAACCATTTGAAGAAATTTGGAAAACAAAACAAAACAAAACAAAAACAACAGGTACAGTTTCAAAAAGTTTTCTGTGTTCAGTCAGTTAATCTGGG